CTGCCAGTGTTTTCTGATTTCAAATGTGAAAACAGGAATAGCATAAGAAATAAAATTCAGAGTTCAGTTTGTACTTTTGTTTAAACAAGATTTGGCTCTAAACCCAATTTGTATTATCACAAAGCTACGGTCACTGATGAAAAGTTCAGGTGAGGTTATGAGGTGTTTGCAGGACAGCAGCGATTAAGTGGCTTCGGGAAACAATGTAAAAACATTTCCCTGTGCGTCACAACGCCTTTTATTTTGCCTCTTTGGCCAGCTTGCCTCCTCTCCGTGACAGGAATGCTGAAATTTAAGCCAAGCTATTTGATGTTGTTCTTGCCTGAGATGATGTCCACTGCTGCACTTTGCACCACGGGCAAATCTCATTTGGTTGATATCTTCATCCTCTTCCCACTTTTCCGTCTCTCCACCCCTTCCTCCCTTCTATCCCATCTTTCTGCTCAGTCGCCTGGAAGCCTGGGAACCAGTCAGGGAGATTTCTAAGTGGAATAGAGACATGTTCAAACATCTCACAGTCACGGGGTTAATTATTAGTGAAGAATGTGTAAGAAATGACTTTGCCAGGCTCTTATAGACCTGACTGACAGGATTATCTCTAACACTAACATTGTTACGATCAGGGGGTGAATCAAAGTATGTGATTAGTGGTTGAGTGGGTTTTTCTGTGATTAGAGAGCAGGGCAGCTGATGGCCGATATTTCATACTGATATCAAAACAAAGAAAAGTTGTGTATAATTATTCCATGCGGGGTACAATCTAATATACCTGTTATCTTAGCCAGTAACGTGTTTTTTAAACAGATTTTTTATTAATTAATGAAATAGAAAAATTCATCAGGTTATGCTGTAGATTTCAGAACGTGACAGGTGTATAAACTAGAATAGGGGAACAGTTCGTCCATCAAGTCTTCCAACCTGAACGACAACATAGGTCGTTTTAACGAACCTCCCAATACTCAGACTTATATGAGCGTATCCTAAAATAGCGCCGCTACCGGTGGCGTTTTTCCATGCCTCCCAAAACGGCAATTTCGAACTCCGTTTCCTCGACCAGTCCTACGTTTTGGAAATCACGTGACCTATATCTAAGGTGACCAGATGTCCCAAAAAATTTGTGACAGTCCTGAATTACGAGCAGTTGTCCCGACTCCTGTATGGTTTGTCCCGAAAATTACCCTTAACATGGGTTATGTACTGTTACATGTCCACATTTGTTGTGTTTTTCCTGATGACAGGTGACTTCAATGAACAAAAATAATAAATTTTAGCCTTGTATTTTGATTTTCACGTGTGTAAATGCTTGTTTGTCGTTGAACTGCATTCTTCCCTGCAGTATAACAATATATATGTAAAACTAGCCAGTAATGATTTTAGATTAGATTTGTTGTCATTTGGGATGATACATCGGCCTCATGAGTGCAGGTATCGGCTGATGCTGATTATCTCAAAAGGCCAGATATTGGCCCGATTAATCAGCTGTCCAATAAATTTGTAATTAGTCTAATTGTGATAGGGGAAAACACATTTTTTGTAATAAATTTTTTAGTATTTTGTATTTTAAAACAAAAAGGAACATTGGTCAGTAGCATATCTCCCCTCCAGTACTGTACATAGTCACACCAATACAGTATATGCCTTTAGCAAGGGAAAGAAATACAAATAAATACAAAACTAAAAATAGTAATGTCCTATAAGTGTGCAAAAAAAAGTTGTGAGAAACTAGATCACCTCATTCCTCCCATCACCACGTATTTTCCAGGAGTTCCTCATTTTTGGACTTTCCCATAACAACGTTTGTATTTTTTATTTGGATGTAAAGTTCCTGACTTACCATTGAACAAAATGACCAATTAAGGCACTGAAGTATTTTCATTTCAAATCATCATCTGGGTGAAGAAATTTAATCTATGATTGAATTTATAAAGGATCATTTGGTCTCGATTCCTATGAAAGAATGCTTTTTGACCACTGCCTGTTCATATCTATTTTCAACCATAAATGTATTTGTAAAGACTTGAGACAGCTCCTTTATCTGATTCCTTAAAGATTTTATTAAAAGAATGAGAGGTGAAGCTACTGTCTCCTACCCATCCATAAACATGTAGTACAGTGTGTACCAAGAATTAGGGAGATCAAAATTACATTTATGGTGCTGGAATCAACCATCTTGTCCCACAATATCCTTTAAAGAGAGGATGCCTTTTCTACTCCACTCATTAAAAGCAATCAGATGACCACCTATAAGAAGGTCATGGTTATAAAATATTGCAGTATCTACATGCCAATTACCGTCTATTTTAAATTCCTGGCATACAACGTACCAAACAGTAATGCTGTTGCTAATTACAGGCCCAAACTTAGCTAATTGAAAGCGAAAAAAATAATTTGCTGCAGCCTTTCTTTTCCAATTTAAGTGAATCTCCTTTTGCAGATCAGAGACTGTTATAGCCTTTGACTGAATTCTTGAAGATGTGGTTTTTAGATCTCCAAGAAAAGCTGCAGATAAGAAACAGTAGCCTGAAGTTCCACATACTTAACACAAAAGCTCATAATGGGCAGGGCAGAACAATCCATACCTGCCACATTTTCTCTGGCATGCTGTGGCTGTCTGCTGAACAGGATTTCACAGAAGGTCTGGAGGAGTGTGTTTGCATGTGCGTTTTTGGTGTGTGTGTGTGTGTGTGTGTGTGTGCGTGTCTGCATGGTGTCATATATCAGTGAGTGTGGATTTGGGTGTAGCTTAGACAAAGAGGTGGCATTCAGCCATTTCCCCCATGGAGAAACCCAGCTGTTATGCACTGATGGGGGAGAGGAAAACAGATCTCTCAGACTCCTCCTGACTACATGAATGTCCAATGAACTGCCCTTGATCTTCATGTCTTCAGGCACGCACACACACACACACACACACACACATACACACATGATACAGTTCTGTCTCTGATCCTTGTCTAACTCCCTCCTTTATGCATTTCCTCATTTCCCCTTTCTCGCAGTTTCTGTTCTCTCAGTGGTTTATATGTTGTCTTGTTCACTCTCAGTCTTTTCTCAGTGCTCAGGGCTGCAGAATAATTCCCTGTGTGATTTCCCACTCTTGTCTTTTGTCTTGGCTTTGGCAATCCTGCCTTTATCCACCATGACGCTCCAATTCCAGGGCAGATTGAGAGCTGTAACTAACCATCAGCATAAACTAAGCTACTCATGACCTACAGGCACTGGAATAGGAAAAAAATACTATATGTTTTAACATTTTTGGGATACCAGACCTTATTGGCGAGCATTTTATAAAATAAACAGTAATGTCTGTTAGATTGAAGAATGCATTGATTTACAATGTTGAAACTTGAAATAGTCAGTACTTCACAATGAACATTTAGTGATCTTTTTTTTTAATCAAAGTTATATTATTATAAAATAAAAATAAAATAATAAGTTTAAGACTTGCAATAAGCTATTGTAAAAACACCACCAAACTCACATTTTCCATTTCAAGTGTTTGCTTATTATTTGTATTCTGAGTTTGATTATTTGAAGACGTGATCAAAATGAAATTCTGTTGCTTAGCTGACTTCTTCGTCCTGACTGTAAAAACAAAAGCATGGTTTCATAAACCAATTTTCAAAAGTTTGCCTCAATCTGCATTCATCTACAGTATTTATTATTGCTTTTAAATAAATCAAGCATTCATTGGCAAATTCCATTAAAGCCTTATTTAAAGGTTCAGTGTGTTTTAGTGGCATCTTGTGGTGAACTTTGCAAATTGCAACCAGGGACTCCTCGGGTGGTCCCATTTCCCGAGTTGTGAAGTTGTTCTTCCGACTGCAGTGTGTGTTCATGTGCTTTTAAGTTGGAATGTGGAATCAACATGGACGCTCCTACAAAGTTGTGTTGGATTAGTATTATCAGAGCGTATAAACAACACGCAGACATCTAGTTCACTCTACATGGACAGCAAACCAACCATTATAACCATATTACAAATTACTTTTTTGCAAATTATGAATATGCTATACGTCGTTTTGCGTGAATCAAAGTTCTGTATACTTCTTTGTGTCCCATGTATGCATGTCTTTACCGCTACTTTCTGCCACGGGCTTTCTATGTGCTCTCCCCTTACCTTTTTGATGCTTTTTCCGCCATAAAATTTTGCCACTGAAATTAATTCAAGCACTGTTTTATTTGAAAGACAAACTTTTAATAGCCACGTTTCAAGCCTACATGCCTGAGTATTTAATGATAAACATTTGGGTGGAGTATCATTCACATCCTGACATCCTAAAAGTCTAGGATGAATCTCAGACAGTGAACAAATGGTCGTCCTCTGGTACACCTTTGCTCTTGCCTCTGATTATTCTGAATTCCTTCATCCTTTGACTCTGTCTACTTGAGGACATGTGTGATGTGATGATAGTGTTTTTCTTTATGCGTCAGTTAATCACAAGATCTTGTATCAGTGATCTGCTCCTAGCGTCAGCCTCCAAAAAACCAGTGAGTTTGTGTGTGTTTGCGTGTGTGTAGGAGAGCTTTCTCATCAAAGGTTGAGTCATGAGGTCACCATATTACAGCTGTTCATCTCAGGCTTGACACACAAAAAGGATCATATTGCATAACACAGACAAATCCATGTTTGTTTCTATTATGTAGCAGATGGACAACAGAACAATGTACAAAATGACAAGACAAATGATGCATTCTTCAAAAATGTGTGTTGTTTAATATTCATACATCCATTTGTATAATCAGACTGCGGTTATTGTACTTCCAAAGTGTACAACCTATGTGCATTGTGAGTTATTAAGATTGTTAGATATACAGATGGAAGTGACATCATTTTCATAAAAAAACATCCAAGCATGCTGATAATTATCTTGTAAACTTTACAGATAGAGGTGACACCTGTGGAAATGAGTGTAAATATGCAAAAGTGACACAGTATGTACAAGAATGAATGCAGCTCATGTGACACTACTTTTTGTTTATCTCCCGTGCCCTCTCAGGTGATTGAGTCTCTGGGCATCATGATCTACAAAGCTCTGGATTACGGGTTGAAGGAGAATGAGGAGAGGGAGCTCAGCCCCCCTCTGGAGCAGCTCATCGACCTCATGACCAACATGGCTGAGGCTGAGAGGGAGGCCTGTCCCGACGAAGGATATGAGGCCACAGAAGAAGAGGATGAAGCAGAGGATGACCCTGACATCTCCAGTGTTCATGGCTACGGAGATATCCTCAAGGTAGGCACAGTAGCTGAGTAAGTGGCTCTGGCTGTCTTGTCTGTTTTTGTTTGGTCATTAGTGGTTATTTATGTTTAAACTATCTAGACAGTAATTTTGACTGATTGTGAACAAATCATTGTTTGAACCCTTAAAGAAGTATCACCCGCAAAGCTCTACAGAGCATTTTAGTGTCCTGCAGCTCATTGTTATGGTTTTACAACCAGCAACTTGACTGTTTTGGGTCATTCTCACCGCTGTCATCATCCTGTTTTCCAGCAGCAGCTGGCAGCTGTTTTTAGCAACAAAGCTCTGCTAAACTCACCGTATGCTACCTGTTTACCTATCTACCTGTTAGAGTGTAGCTGGTGAACATAGTGGGGCATTTAGCAGCTAAAGTGCAAAAGAGATATTCCCCTTAGGAGTTGGTGGAAACCAAAACAAAGCTCAAAGGAGAGTGAATATTGGAATATAATTCATTGGGTTGCCAGAAACATGACTCCAAATGAAAGCTAATGTTGCTCCATGTCTGCTGTATGTGGAAATAGGTATTATATATTATTTTTACATGCCTCATGTCACATCAACTTTATAAGATCATAAAGCATGGCAAATGTGTGTTATTTTTAGCTTGTAGTTCTGCCCCCATGTGGTCAATGACAACTGATTAATGCATCTGTGAAGATTCTCAATTATCCAAGGTTGGTTAAAATCAAATGCAACTAAACCTGGTTGAAGATACTCAAAGACGTTTCGCCTCTCATCCACAAGCCTTCTTCAGTTTTGACTTACTGGCGGGAAGTGCCAGCTGTTTAACCTCTGTGGGGTCATTATCAAGATGATGGATACCGCTTGGTTACTCTGAGGAAGGCACAGACATATTAGTGGGAAAACTAAACAACCACTACACAAACACATGGCTCAAGACAGAAGGGCCAACTTTTCAGGTCAAGACTCAACAGTTAACTTACATTTGAAGGATAAAGGAAACTCCTTCAAGGACAACAACGTAAATTCTGGATAGGGAGGACAGATGGTTTGAAAGATGAGTCAAAACAGCCATCTACACCAGAGTAGAGAAACCACCTCTCAACGGGGGGAGAGGGGCTGAGACACCACTTATGCTTGACTTACAATGCTGTCCTTTCATCCCTTCCAAGGCGATTAAGCAAACGCTCACATATGGCCTCATGTGAGAATGCCATCTCCGGTCATCCAGACTTGGCCTCACATGACTCCAACAACCACAACAACTGTCGTCATTACAGACAGAAGCACTAACGAACCAAGCGGTTTCCATCACCTAGATTGTTGATTAAGTTAGAGAAAAGCAAAACATTAAGAAATGTTTTAGTCCACATTTGACAGAGGGCTACTACAACAGCTGTGAGAAGTCTGATTTCATGAATTTCAGTAATGGAAGAACTATACAATTAGTTACTGTAAGTTGAGCCCAGACACCAATTTAAATGATCTCCTTCACAAGTGAAAGTCCTGCATGCAAAAGTATTGTCAGCAATATATGCCTAAAGTTTGAAAAGTAGAATTGCAGGTTATACAGACTGTCTCCTTTCAGAGTGGTATATTATTTGTATTGTCGGATTATTATCACTGACACAATAACTTGTAAGCATTTCTATGGTGTAGCTGGTTGAGGAGGAGCTAATTTTAACTACTTTATATACTGTTGGGTAGTTATTATACATCATATATTAAGCTTGTTATCATATGTTTTAGATGTAGTAAATATAGCTGTTAAATAAATCTAATGAAGTAAAAAGTATAATATTTATATATCCAGTAGAAGTATAAAGTATCTTTTTAAATTGGAAATACAGTTCTTGACTAAACATAATCCACGGATGGACTCCAGGAACAGATGATATCAGCGAGGGTAACTCTTCAGGAAAAGACATGTGTGAGAAAATGAAAATGTTAAGCATGGCTCCGAACACAGAGAATAAAACCACAGTGCAGTCTGGCTGTCGGCCTCATGCTTGCTGGGAGTCATGTCTCACTGTTGTCCAGTGGAGCCCAGAGTCACTGTGTCAGACCTCACATGGTCTCACACTGTTTACGTAATGTCCACATACCCAGTCACACACACGAACACACACACAGCAACAGTGCCCTCCAAGGAGATGTATCTGAGCAGTGTGGCAGTCTGGCTGGCCCAATGGCTAGCTAGCTGTCAGTTCCAATTGTTGTCTCAGTATTTTTCACCCTCAGACTATTCACTCTCTGTACTCCCTCAGTTTACCTTTTGTCCTACTGTACTAACCCTAGCTGACATAGAATCCACTATTAACTGTTTTTAACCACATTAATTCACTTAAAGGTGGGGTATGTGATTACAATCCAATACGTGTCTTTTTGTCAAATTTATATCTCCTCACAGTCCGCAAGCTATCCGTTCTGTGTGCGCTGAAAAAAATCTGATTTTTGTATACAGCCCTGGCTCAGTAAATGGGAAACCAAACAAAGTGGCCCTCACCCCGCCACACAACAATATTTTAGCCATTCCAGCCATGATATGTATGTCAGGTAATGTTGAATTAGGCCTACTTGCCCACGGTGATGTTGTGAGAGTTGTGAGTATCGCTGTCTGGAGCTGGTGTGCTGGCTCTGGGACCATCTCATCCTCTCTGCATGTTAGCTTCTCAGCAGCAACTGTAGCGACAGTTCACGTTGGTTACATTGCTTGCTGTTCTGTTGTTTGCTCTATATCATGGTGTTTGTCATTGAACTGGATTTCTCCAGAATTGCAGACCCTACCTTTAAAGTTATGTGTTTTTTTGTATGTGAAATCAACCACCATAATGCATTCATTTACCCTGGGTACAGCATGTTCTGTTATTCCCACACATGTGAAAGGATGTGGGCAGGAAGAAGCAGTTGTCTGGTATTTTCTGTGTTTAGTGAATTTATTTCTCTAACTGGGATGCAGTCTGGACAAATGGATGCCATGAACATGCCAAGCATTGACCCAGGGTGTCTTCTGTTCCTCTGAGCGAGACAAGGACATATTCTGTTATCACTGTCGATCTGCGTGTGAGAGAGTGTGTGTGTGTGTTTGAGCAGCAGCATGGCCGACCTCAGGCATAGTTGTCTTGTGAATTGTTTTCATCAGTCACTGTTGACATTTCTAAACAACAGTTTAGTTTTGTCTGCAAATGTTTTTTGGGGTATTTTGTTTTTTGGAGTGCTTTACATAACTCCCTTTGTTGAGTATGTGATAGTAATATCAGAATAACATAGATATTGGTAGCCATTGTTGCTTCTAGCATTGCACAGAACTTTGTATTGAATTTTGTAATAGATTCCTGTGGTGCATACTGAAAATCTCTTCTTTGTCTCCCTTGTAGCTTTGCACAGCTCATCTACCCAGTCTATCAGACGCACCCAATCACTACCAGGCAGTGTGTCGTGCTCTGTACACAGAAACCAGGGAGCTGCGCACTTTTCTGGAGAAGATCAAGAGTGCCAAGGAGGTGGGTTCTTATTATCATCATCATGGCTGAGAGCTCATTAATTGCCGTATAAACCATCCAACCAAGCCTGTGTTTCAGTTGCACATTAAACAGCAGATTCTTATTTATGGTTAATGCATAAACTCTCGCTTTATAATACTAGTCTTATTTAAAAACACTGCCTGTACTTCACTCTAATAAAAGGTTACGGGAGGACCACTGACTTTTACGTGAAAGACATAGTGAGGCTTCACTTTAGAAGATTCAGCAGGGTGACCTTACATATCCTGCACACTAATCAACACGACTGTCACTCTCTGTGGGTGTACCACTGATAGTGCTGGCAGGGGCCACATTAGTATTGTGGAACTGCTGGGGCCTGTGGTGATTGTCATTCATATGAAAAGACATATGATCGGTCTGCATATGAATGGTTTTGACACACTCCAAACCCATTTTGAATCAAAATGCATGATGATTATATTCTTGGTTCTTCTCTCTGCTTTTATGTATAAAGGGTTCAAATGAGGAAACCAGCAGAGCATAACAGTCATATCTGAGTGAGCCATCTTGCCCGTTTCAGTATTAAGCCAGATTTCTGAGAGGAAGGGTTTAATTGTAGCATGTAATAGGTATGGACATAGCAGAGAATAATAATTAATATATTTCATTTGTAATGCACATATATAGACACACATAGACATGAGGGCAGTGTACGAACTGCCGTGTTTCCTGTGTGACAGAGCAGTGGCACTCACTGATTCAGAAAGGCATCTGTGGATAAAGAAACGAATGGACACATCAGTGCACAGCCTATATTCCTCAAGCTATGACATAACAACCAATAAATCTGTCTCAAAGCTTTCACTAATGCTGTTCTCTGTAAGAATAAGTGAACAAAACCTGACATTTTTACACAGTGCGCACCAAATAGAAACTCCATTTTATGCCAGAAATCAGGTTTATGCATAAAACATCACACAAAGAAAAAGACAAAACAATATCTAGTTGACAAACATCCCTCAAAAGCATGTTAAAGATTTTAATCACTCATAATAGACAATTTAACATCCATTAAATTAAACCCTGGTTCCCTAAAACCTTTCATTTTAATACATCATATTACCCTTGATTTGCAACATTAGGGGACTGGATACTTGAATAAATCAAGTCTGGGGCATCAGGGAATTTAAGTTTTCACTGTGGTCTGCTCTTTCACAATCACATTCAGGTGTTTAACCCCTTAAAGGTACCTATTACATGGTAATTGCACCTTGATATTACTGTCATATGAAAAGTTTAGAGATGTTTTAAGGCACAAAATTAAGATATTCTGTTGAATGAACTTAAAGCAAACTCTTTAGTCCTAAACTTGCCAGCACCTGCACCACCATTAACAAATGTGTGCAAATAGAACAAAAGTGAGAGTGAAGGCGGCATGTTTTTTTGTTTCTATTGATATTATGATTTGTATCCATCCATCCAACCAATTGGTGGTACACATCAGAGTTTCCATCAAGATATTAGGGTATAAATTGGGGTACATGATTAAACAAGTTATAGCAATTTAACACTGCATATTAGTTCAAGTGAAACATAAGATTCAGTCCTCCTCACCCCATTGGAGTTAAATGTAATATTTAGACAAAATATGTGTACATTTTTGCAGTTTTTTTGGCATGAAAGTGGTTAAACTTGACAACAATGAGTATAAGGACAATATAATGGCTATCAGCAACTTGGCGTACTAAGCCTAGTGTACCTCACTAGTGTTGTAATGTCCAAACAGTCCGATGCAGCCGTGCAGTATGTGGATGACAAGCTGTGCTCTCACACTTTGCTGGCTGACAGGTTGAAGAGGGCCACTGTGAAGAGGGAGTGACATGTTTGTTGTGCATGTCCGACATGGATAACAATATCTGGAGACATGCTGACTCTCAGTCTGCCAAAAGCACTGAGCTCAGGTTCTCACCGCTAATATTGAGACAGTCATGATTCAAATAATCATGCATGAGGCTCCTGCTGCAATGGTAGTAGTTGGGTCTGTGATAATTATATTTTTCAAACTTGTCCACATACCGTAAAGGATTAATGCTCCTTCAGTGTATTACTGGTATGCTGTCTGTTATGGGTCATGTGTCCATATTCAAGGAGGGGCTGGAATGTGATTTCCAATTATTTCCCTCAGTGATCTGCAATTAGCTGGTTTGCACAGTTAGAATGCGTCATAATCACTATCTTTCTACTTAATGAAAAGGCTTGAAATGTTCATAGTATTATTATTTAAATCACAATTTTTTTCATGTTACCCAAGTTCATATTAAGGCTGATAGTTCATCTAAACGCAAAGCCATGTCTTGTTGCTATACAACATGAAAAATGAATTGTCATTCATTAAGATCAAGTGCAGGAGTCATTTTGTGCTTTGTCTCCTCAGGAGCATTTTGGAGCTCAGCTGTGGGTTGAAACATTTCCTGTGGTGTGTGTGTGTGTGTGTGTGTGTGTGTGTGTGTGTGTGTGTGCGTGCGCCACCTCAGGGTTCCTTCCTGCTACGCACTATTGCTGCTGCCCTTTCAGTGTGCGTAATGCATCTGAATGAATAGAGGGGATTTGGTTGGTTACATAACTCTCTGTTAGGAGAGAGAGGACTTATTGCAGGGTGGAGAAAGTTGAGAAAGAAGCCTAAAAAACAGGATATTATTTAAGCCAAGAAACTCAAGTAGTAATGTTTTTATCATCATTTAGTATTTTATATAACACTTAGGTACACATTTCTTGCACATTATTATAAATAATAATTGTAAAAAATAATGCAAAAAAATGTAAACTTGTTAATTATCTATGACTTCAGCTACAGAAATGGAATTGTTAGGACACTCATGAAGCAAACACTGTGCAATGATTATTATTTGACCCTACTTCTATCCTATCTATTTATTCTTATTCCCCTTTCTAGCCACGGTCTGTCTGTCTATCCAAAAACTACTGGATGGATTGCTATGTCATTTTTTACAGGCATTCATGACTTTTTATCTAGCACCATCATCAGCATGTTGTCTTATCTGCCTGTTCTCCCTCTGTGTTGTTGTGAAGTTTCAGAGCGACAGAGACAAACTCATTCTCATGCCTGCCTGCATGTGCACGGTGCGAGAGGAGATTACTCTGAGCAGGGAGACAAATAAAATAAATATAATAGACTTTTGTATATTTCTCTTTTTTCCCTGAAAGGTATACTATATAATTCACTATATTTGTCTCTGGTCATTTTTCAGAAGTCGCTGAGAAACTGAAAAAGGTAGGCAGTGGACTACACCACTGTGAGGCACATGAGGGGGGAGGACATATTCTTTGAAAACGTAAAAAAACGCATTGGACTCGTGGTAGAGAATGAGAGCTGTTAACTATTTGTGTACCAAATACATTGACTTGACGCTGATGCACAACAGTGGTTTGATTTTAATTTTTGGATCATAATTATTGCTAGGGAGAATTCAGTAGTTGCTGAAAATTCTACGCCCTTGTCTAAATTTGTGTGAAACAAACTGTACCTGTCGTACGTGTCCATGTCCAAACTATTACCCCATTTTATTTGGTTTTGGTTCTTTATTAAATGTGTAGATACAATAAACACAAGGCGGAAATGATAAAATGTAGGTCAACAATAAGCCTTTTGCCTCCAGATACAAAAAGCAAATAGTCATCATCAGCACATGGGAGACTAATGAGCAGTATGTATGTGTGTGTATGAGCAAGATGTGTGGTTGTGTAACTGTTATGTGATTTCTCCTGTCTGTTAATGTATGTATGAGTCTGTGTCTGTGTTTATCTGAGTTGTGTATCCATATGAGTGTGTGTCCATATACATTATGTGTGTGTGTGTGTGATATACCCAGGAGTAAGACCCACACTTGCCGGTCTTTTATGGCAGAGCTGTGCCGACCCACAGGGCATCTATCTTTGTCTGTCCACCACTACCAGCCATGGCTGCCAAATAGTTGCTTTGTCTCTCCCCAAAGACACCTGCTGCTGCTGGAGTTTCAGAGAAAAACAGCTGAATTAGTGGTGATTCACAGAAACAAGCCTGGCTCCTATTTGCTCAGGGATAAGTACTTCTTGTCAGCTCTTGAGAGCTGAAAATGAATAACAAGGAGAGCAGAATTCCAGAGAAGAAAAAAAAAGGTTGTAGATGCAGTTGGTAATTGCCCTAATTACTCATGTGGACTTGCAGCAGTGTTGGTTTTGTCCACACGAGGGTTGCCGTGCATGTTTCAATTAAAATGCTGTCCCCATCAAGTGCAGAGAGCACTGCTTAATCAAACCTTTTGAAATGGAAATATGTGGCTTTGATGCAATTTCATGACAGGCCACTCATACCAATGAGACAATGGTGTTTAAAAGCAAGTCTTTAAGCACTTCAGCACTACCTTGTGATACCGATGTATAAACTGTAGTCATGCAGAGTTATTATGCAGCAAAATGCATTATGTTGTGAGTGATGTTATGTAACTGCTACATTGAGCCTAACAGTTCTGTTCCCTGGCAGCATGTTGGTGAATTGAGATTTCCCCGTTGGGCTAAGGTCTTAACTCTGCAGTCAGCTGGGCAGACTCCCGTGATTGTCTTATCAAACTCTCCTCTGCTGTGACGTGACAAAAACAACCTTGCCACAAAAATGAACCAGGGAGAACATTCTGTCTGCCAACTCCTTTCTGTTACATTTTGTTTACTTCTCCCAGCTGTTGCTTTCAAAGCACCTGCAGAGGAATGCTGGTTCTCCCCTTGTTTCCCACAGATAGGCTGTCAGTCAGGCTGCCTGTGTTTTACAACACTAATGGCCTCACGTTGTCCAGTTTCACGCAAGTGTCAGGATGGAGGAGCTGGACTTACTGTTGACTGCCTGATCACAAGGGACTGTCAGTTTCACATCTGGTGGAATTTGTGATTTTATTATATTTAAGATTGCCAGTACAATTTTTCAAGAACATGCTAGCAACTCTGTGAGGCTGTAGTGCTTACTGTAAAAACAAAAGTAAATTTAAAAACAATGTTTTGTTTGCAAATATGTAATGGGTAATGTTTACAGTGTTCACTGTCTTAGCTTAGCGTATTAACATGGTATTATTTGCTGATAGGCAATATAATGTGCCTAAATGAGCAGACATTTTAACATGACATGGTAGGAAAAGTAGAAAACAGAATCTACGGCCATGCTACTAGGTCTGTGAGGCTAATGCTCATTTTAAATAAAAACAAACTAAATGATCGATAATACCCGCGACCCTGTACACAGGATAAGCGGTTGACGATGGATGGATGGATGGATTATCGATAAGATTGATATTTAGCAGTATAAAAATGCTAGTGGTTGATAAGGTAGTGGTTGTGAAGCTAACATGCTCACAATGATGATGCTTACATGCTAGTGTTTAGCAGGTAACGTTTACGATCGTCACTTTCTTTACTTTTTGTAAAAATGTTAACATTTGCTGACATGGGAATCTAGCCTTAGGCACAAACTATAGTCACATACAAACTTAAATTTGACCTGATTTAGGTGCTTGGGTGAAATGTCAAGGGACCATTGAAGTTAATGCAATTCATCATGTGAGGAAAATGAATGCACGTCAGCAAATGCCTATGTCAATCAAAGTTATCATTATAAGCTTTAATTTGATAAACTATGAACAGTTATTTTAGGTGGCACCAAGATACAGTGTTTATGTAATATTGGTGACAGGTGGTGCATCACATGTTAAAAGCTCCTGTTAGCTGTCCGTAAATTGAAACTCAATGGTACCTGAGTGTCTACATATTGAAAAAATAAAACATGTTTTTCCTACCACAAAGGTAACTAAACTGGAGAAACAACTATGACTTTGTTGGTTCACATGTAAGCCTATTGGCTCTTCATCTTTCCCTTTTTTAGCTTTACCTCTTTTTTTAACATGTTGTGTCTGAAATTGTCTTTATGATTTTTTATTTTATATTCAAACAATGTCTCTCTCTCTTTTCACTAGAACCTCCGTAAAATGGAGCATGAGTCATCAGTGGAGCCTGGCCACGACCTGAATGACCTACAGAATGCTGACTGGGTAGGCATTTAGACTCTTGACCTATGACCTCCAACAACTGATCATTTCTTCTGATGAACGTCTAACTCACCAAAAAGCACAGGGGGTTTCTTATCAAAGATTTTCCACAATTGCATGTTCACATAAAGAAATCTTTATGACTGCATGTTACACTCTAAATAGGCAGTGATTAAAGAGCTTCTCAGGAACCATGTTGAGATGGATAGAACCACTGCCCTTGATGAACCCTCCTTATTTTGTGTGCACAGAGAGGTCAGAGCATAGAGGATTGTTATTTTCATATTCAAAGGGTCATATTATTTTCTACTTCCCCTTTCTCATGTTGCCCTTTGCGTCCTCCCATCAGGCTCGATTCTGGGTTCAGGTGATGAGGGACCTGCGTGATGGAGTCAAGCTGAAGAAGGTGCAGGAGCGGCAGTACAACCCTCTGCCCATCGAGTACCAGCTCACTCCCTATGAGATGCTCATGGACGACATCAGGTCCAAACGATACAAACTGCGCAAAGTCATGGTCAGTGTCCAATTTGGACCACATGTAGCCCCATGTGTGCCACCGGCTTGCTGTACTTCTGCTATACAATTGTTCCAATCCCATGGGAAATTGCTTGGAAAAGCTTGCAACACTGTTGTGTAATAAGTCTATGCTGGGACGCTGCTCTTTTGGATACCAGTGTAGTGCTTGATTTGACTGTTGGTCGGAGGTTTTACAGACTAAACTGTTAATCTATTAAAAGTAAAAATTTTGATGAATAATGGAAATAATCATTGGTTGCAGCATTGCTAACGGTCCTGGATTTGGATGTCCTGCAATAAGCATTTTTACATGTTATTAAACTTCATGATCTTTTCTATAAACTTCTGAAACAAGCAGGATTTGTGAGCTAGATTTACATGAGTGATTTCAAGATAGTTAAGGAATCAAGCCATTTCTGTCTTCATGTCAGTGTTTACTTTTTTGCTCTGTTTTTATCTGTTCTGTTGTTTCAGGTAAATGGAGACGTCCCGCCCAAGTTAAAGAAGAGCGCTCATGAAGTCATCCTGGAGTTCATCAGATCGAGACCACCTCTCAACCCCGTAAGTTCAACTTAACAACCCATCCTTGTGCAGCCTATGAAAACTTGTGTTAATTAGAAAAGACCAGTGGACTGTCTTCAAATGAAGAAAGATTTTTACCTTTCATCTCCCCGTCGTGTGGATCCTGACCCTGAAGTTGGGAAGAAGCTGATTTGATGTACCTAACACCAGAGACATCATGATTATTAATTGATAAAAATAGATGTCACCATACTTGAAGATGTATGGTGCAAAAGCAAACTGTTTTAGAGCTTCTCTGCACTGTGAATTCAGGGAAATGCTGCATTCATCAGTTCTGTACTGATATAAATCATACTGCAATACTCGCAAGCGCTGTTTCAGCAGGATGCTGAACTCTACATAACAGTCAGTCACGGGAGATATGAGATATAAACAGGCTGCCAGCTATAACCCTGTTTGTTTCAGGCAGTTGTTGTACTTCACTATACTTACACTCTGTCATTGCGCTAGGTGTCAGCTCGTAAGCTGAAGCCACAGACTCAGCCTCCTCCAACACTGCATGAGCGGATCCTGGAGGAAATCAAAGCAGAGAGGAAACTTCGACCTGTGTCACCTGGTGAGGTCCGCAGGGGAAGGCTGGGTAAGGAAACTCACCGCTTCTTTGTACCTGCTGCATTTATTTTTATACCTTTGTTGCGCACACACACAGTGTGCACACTCTCATGCACATGAAAACATACTTCAGTCTGAAATGTGTTTTTTAAGGTGAAGTATGGAGCTGATGCTTGCAACTTCAGGACATCATGTGCTAATCAAACAAATTCAAATGAGAGATGTGTAGTAACTTTATTATTTTGACCTATGTTTTACTTCCTTTTACAATTTACAACACTATTATTTGTGCCTCTGCTCTTTGCTGTTGTAGCTAATGCTGCCTAACCTTTCATGTTTGTGTTGCAACTAATTCCTATTATTGTTTTGTTGACTACATTGCAATATAGTGGAAGTTGTTCATGAATAATGATGCTAAGTGTCTGCAATTGCATTAACACAACAATGCTAAAACCACTACTGTTTCTGAATGTCAGTAATCTCTTACCATTGGCTATGGCTTATTTGAAATCCTATTATCTCCCATCATGAAAAAGGTTATACTTCAGTGATCTAAAACTAGACAATAAGCATGCTATACCCCTGCCTTTCTTGCCAAATACAAGCAGATTACATCCGTTAATGTATTATACTCTCTATAAGTCCTGCTTTAGCTTACCTCCTAATCACAAGCAATAACCATCCGATGCCATGACTGTTTCTCGTTGCAGTAATTCGGCCACTTAGCATGTCTTTCAGTTTTGATGCGTCAGGTAAAGTCTACTTCCCTGCTTACCTGGCTTTTTATCTCTTTCTGTTTCCCACCTTGTTGTGGCTGCTCATCTGCTCTATCAGATCACACTGCACACACATCAGACTTTTTGTATCAGCCCACTGCACACACATTTCATGTCATGCTTCAGTGGTTGGTGATGGTTGGCTGTGGTCTGTGGAGGTGAAACATGGTGATGTGGGACACTGGTCAGTAGGAGGACACTGTTGAGAGCAAACAGATGAGTGACGCATTGACCGGCAGTACAAACACAGTTCTATAGTCAGGGCACAGCAACCACCGAGGACACTGAGGTAATGTCCTTTGAGTTTTTATTAAGGAATTTGGGGGTATTAGCAAATTAAACATAACATTCGTTTGCAGCTTATATATATTTCAATTTGACTACTTTTAGCATTTAGTTCATCTTGGAAAAATGTAAATATAATTTAATTGAACAATAACAAATAAAAATAGTTTTGAAAACTGCATGAAGAGACTGCAGAGTAGCTTAGCTAATTACCACACATATGTGTTTTGGATGACGATTTTTATCATATTTATCATCTCAGTAACTACAACAATAGGCTGGCTGCACACCAACATTTGATTGAGAGTTTGCGAAAACTACTACAAAGAAGTCGAGATAAATTGCTGAAAGTGAGGATAAATGAACTTAGGAACAACCGAATGAAGGGACTTGGACTCAGTATTTCTAAAACCCTGCAACCATAGAAATGAATCAATTACTCTTTGTTGAAAGTTACATCCCTTCACAAACTGGTTGTAGTTCTATGGTTTGCGTGATATTATCCATTGTTTTAAAATGTAAATGCCAAATGTAATGCTATAAAACAGTATCCCAATCTCATGACAGTATGAGATGCAATTAAAAACCACAGAATTTTATTTATGCAGGATTCAGGTCACATTTACTTACATGTCATATTTTTCCTCCCTTTTGAATCTTCTTCCCTGGGAAAAATAAAGAAGAAAATGGTTGTTATGATGATGACTGATGATGAGTAACATGGCATGTACACAACTCGCAGCCTGTGGTTTTTGACACGAGGGAATCCTAACTTCCCATTAGCATCTGGCTGTCCTAAAGAGAAAGATTAAACCTAGCTCTGGCTGATTGGAACAGATCAGATCGCCTAACAGCGGATTGGGATATTTTAAGGGCTTTACTGTTCTTGGTGCCCTCTATGATGATACTGAATTAATGACCAGTGACGGTTTAAATGATGTAACATTATCCTGCTGAGTTTTATTTATTCTATGTCATTGTTTGTTCTTTTATTTTTGTTTAATACTTATGAGTAGAGCCAATGTGAAATTCTGAAGAGTGAGTTGTGAAATGACATTATTGTGGCACTTCAAATCCTGGTCAGAACAGTACAGCTCATACAGTCTGTTTTACCTACAGCTCCTGTCAAATAAAAGCCCAGGATTATCTCACTCCTGAAAAATGTCCCTGGTTGTTGCTGCTGAGCCCCCAGGTCACGCCAAGTGTCACCTTTGCTAAGTAAATCATCTGTCAAATATACTGCTGTTATGTGAATCTTAAGTAGAAGTGTGTGCAGCCACCCATCTAATCAAGGAATGAGAAGGAGCAGCCAAAAGAGTTACCACCACCTCTGTGTCTTCAAAAATCAACTCCATACACAAGAGTCTTTCATGTGCCACGATGACTTTGCAGAATTTAATCAGGGAACAGATGGATCAGTGTGCAGCCTCATGCTCCAGCACTGGACAGGATATACGTTCTCCCAGTAGTGGTATGTGTTTAGCATTAAATGCATATGACCAGCTTTATGCTATATACAGTTTTGATTGAGGTGATAAGATAATACTGCTGAGGCAGGCAAATCAGAATAATGCTGCGCTCCACTTTCCTTCTCTTGAAACCAGTGTCTCTCATCACACAACAAGCTTTATCACCTCACGCTTACTCATTCATGCTGTCCGATAATCTGTGTGCGTCTTCGAACTCCCCTCTATAATGGATCATTCCCACGCGGAGTGAGCAGTTTGATTCCTCCTTTGGTCCATATTTCACGGGGAGATGGTACAGACCCGCTGACACTTGCATGAACATGATTAAGGTTTAAATCAGGAACAAGAAGATACTGTTTTAGGGATAAATCCATTTCACAAGATATATCATGCACTTCTGGGTCCATTTTGTTGTTTCGTGGTGTTTTTCCTCATAACTGGCAACATGGAGATGGTGTGTCCTACTGACATGTTTATAATGCATAAACAATTTATGGAATAGCTTGAAATTTTGGAAAAATACACTTGCCAAGAGTTAGATGGGAAAATCGACACCACTCTCATGCCTTTGAAGGAAATATGAAGATAAAACCAGAAGAATCAGAATCAGAATCAGAATTCGGTTTATTGCCAGGTACATTTTTTCACACGAGGAATTTGCCTTGGTATTAATGGTGCTTACAGTATACATGAATATAAATATAAATATAAATATATAAAAAGTAAGGCGATCCAATAAATGCACAAGTATACAAAAATGACAATAATGCTATAATACAATGCTGACAAGTATGTGCAAAAGTTCACAACGTGAGCATAAAACACAGTTGAGGGTTGTTAAGTGTGGCGTCAGGAGTGTGTATGAGTGTGTGTGTGTTTGGGGAGGGGGTCAACGAGAGTCAGTGACAGTGGGGACCCCGGCCTTGTTGAGGAAGCCCACTGTATATATATATATATATAACTAGCCTAATATAACTTTAGGGCTGACCCCGAATAGTAGAAGAATCGAAGCTTTGCTGGGCGGAGCCTGATCCGACTGTCAATCTCACAGTCGAAGCTTAGCAGCGAATCATCATGCCATTTTGGCGATATGGGGTGTCAACGTCTGATTTTACAAAGATCTGCCATTTTTCTGCCAATAAGTTTATATACAGCCTATTACAATATACATTTCAACGTTTAATGCTGTAAATAAATATGTAAAAAGAAAAACACTTTCAATAAATGTTTTTGAAGTGTGTGAATAAATCCAAAATTGTAACCCTTACCCTGGTCGTCAGTGCGCATGTGTAAGCGTAGCGTGAATGTGTGCAGTAGCAGTGGAGGAACACTTGCTGAAGAGACCGAGCCCCAGCTTCACTGGTGTTGTGCTGAGTTGTCCGCACCTCGCGGGACTTTCAGATAATTTATCACCGTTGATGAACCACACAAACAATATGTTATCGTAGACCCGCGAGGAACCGCGACGTGCATGCAGTTGTCAGCAACAGTAACGTTAATGCACGTAAAACTCTTCACAAGACCGGTGAAGGACCCCCCCCACCCCCCACCTGCAATCGCTGCGCACAAAAACACACACATGATTAGACTATCAGTTGACTATAGGCAGGACTCAACGATTCTGATTCGTAAATCCTAAATCGGGGAGAGCCCTAAAATTCTTACAACACTTTACTCCCCGTAAAACCACATTTCTTTTTCTGTAGAGATTAAACTATCAAGATACAATAAGTTAATTAGGGAGCTTTAGATGTGCTGTTAAGAAGATTTTTTTTGATGTTGGACATCTAATTTTCAGCAAGAATAGTTTCCCCCCAAAAGTTTACTTCTTTTAAAACAAAAACATTTTCAGCTCAAACATGAATGCATAATATTTGAGTTTTGATGTCTTTCAGGAAAACCCCAAAATTGGCAGACAAATGTAACCATCAACACTAGCCTGAAACCAAAACGATATGCAGCAATAAGACATGTAGAATTTTAACACAGCTGTGTGACTGTATACATAATCACACTGTATAGCTATTTATAGGCTCATGTAACCACCTTTGATTGAAAGCAACACCTTGGCCTCAGTTAAAAAGCATGAACAAACCAAGTCGAGGTAGGGGGGGGTCCACCAAAGAAGTGAAAATTAGCCACATTTAACCACACAGAAATGCAATGTCTGCATTCATCATGATATATTTTTGGGATCTAACAGCACAGACATACCAAACGGTGGAATATTCATATAGCTATCATAATGAAGGAAGTGTCCCCTTTTAGGTTTTGGCAAAACTCGCAGTATGCCACAGGATTTGTTCCGTTCTGGATTAGGTAAAGTATGAGCACTGCTGTGGTTTGGAAGGCCTCCCTTAACCTAATGCCCTTGTCTGTCTACCTCCCTGGCTGTAAGCTAATATCTCCTCTATTTAAATATTTGAATACTGAAGCGTAGTCAAGACACAAGTACAGTGTACAATTATGGCTAGTTTGTTTGTGTAGTAAAGTCTAAAACCTGGTGATGTAGTCTCTTAGGAATCTTAGATTGTAGAAAGACAATTAGTTGTAGTCCGGCAGCAGAAATAGAGCTCCTGTTCAGACAATCAGCTCATGTGGAGGTTTTTCCCACAAAAAAGAGAAGAGATTGAATGGAGACAAGAAAGAGGTTTCAGGGCCACCATAGATCCTTTCAGCTGCAGCTCTTTATCTGTCTTTTGCAGCACTCCCTTGTCTTTTCTTCTCACACTCCCTCCCGCTTTTCAACCATTTTGTACTCCTAGAAACCAAAGTTAGAGTCAGGCAGCTTGGTTTGTGTTTGGTTTCCATGAATTGTTTTCTATCTTTGGTACTAACAACTCCTCTCTTAGTGCAGAATGATCTTGTTAGTCAATTGGGGCATTTGGTTTCAAGGACTCAGATCCCCCAAAAATACACTGTGGAGGCTGTCGGGTGAGAGAATCCCATTTAGCTCAGATTAAAAAATATTTCATTAAAGATGCATCTCTGCTTTGTGTGTAACACCAGCCTGCTCCTCAGACCAACTTAACTCACCCTTCCTGACCTCTTAAACCTTGGGATGGATCTCAAACTTCAATCCTCTGTACAGGATTCATTGCATCTTTTCAGCTTACCTCCTTTTAAAACACGCTGTGATTTGCAGTTTGCCCTGAGATAGAATAAAAGAATAACACATGATGCAAGGGATCAGATGAGGAAGTGTTTTGAGAGTCATCTCAAGTGATTTTTCTCCTTCTGTCTGAATGACTCTCTCTTATATGTGGCTCTGTGCAGATGAGTTTAGTCCATACATGGGCAGGAGGGTGTCCAGCTCTCTGTCTCTGACCAATGGATCAGCATCTCCCAGAGAAGAACCCTCCGGATCTCAGTCTGCACCTCAGAGGAAGAGGCTCCTGAAGGCTCCCAGCCTCGCCGAGCTGGACAGCTCTGACTCTGATGTCAGTATGAGTTTGTGTGTTTGTGCGCTTGTATGTTTGGCATGGATGTTTAGAAATGACACCTGTCATGTGCCGAGCAAATATTAATTGAAGTGTTTTTATATTCCGTTCATTCAGGATGAGATCGTTGGCCGCAAATCAGCCAGCAGCTCCAGCGTAGCTACATCTGTGATGGATGATACATCCCCAGAGTCTGTGCTTGGGAAGAAAAGTGAGTCAGGAATCACTTCTACACCCCTGTCACAGCCCACTCGCCTCCTCAGCTAAATTGTGATCGATGAGTTTAAATCTTACAGCCTTGTCTGCCACTTTCTTTTATTGTTGCTGTTTATAATCAGATGTTCTTAAGCCCTGAATTAACCAATCAATGAAATCTTTCCGGTTAAGATGCGTCCTTCTCTCTCGTTTACCTCTCTTTCCTCTATGAACACCAGCCCCACCCATGTTTCTGCCCATCTCCTCCACACCCCAGCCGGAGAGGCGTCGGACCCCCCAGAGGAGACACTCCATCGAGAAGGAAACCCCGACCAATGTCCGACAGTTTCAGCCGCCCTCCAAACAGAGCTCCAAGTCTCTGGTGAGTCAGACATCTATACTGTGTATCCCCAGCAGATGAAATGTATCATGAAAAAATACATAAGCCACATAAAAAGGGCCGTGAAAGTATTTATTTTGGTTTCATTATTTTTCAACTGTAAGAGCAGTAACAATTAACAAACAACAAAAAGTACAACAGCATTTGAGCATATTACTGTGGACTCTCTCCTATCTATCCTGTCCAGTAACTTAATGAGGAAAATGGGGAATGGGGGAGGGAAAGCAATCGTTTAGATCGTTACAGAGAAGCAATTGAGAAGCGATTGAAACTAAACACTCACTGTCATCTCTCTTATCCTTTTATTTGCGTGACATGTGTCATGTTACTGAATTTCTTCTATCGCATAAACCACTGTGTATGCTGCAGGAACCCTTCTCTTCCTCTGCCACACACACACCTTCACCTTCTCTCGTTCAGGTTGGGATGATAGCTTCATATCGTCCCTGGATCCCCCTCCTCCACCTCCTCCGCCCTTCTCCCTCCACTCTCCACCCTTTGCGGAGTGCCCACCCTATCGAGGCGTTTGTGTTGGGGTTGATGAAGGCAGTTTTTGCACTGTGCAGGGGCATTTACGTCAGAGGAAGAGTGTCAGACAAGGTTTGCCAGTCTCCCTCAGTCCGTCTTGGGATAATAACCATAGCTGCCCATCCTCTCCTAATACTTGCTGCTTCTCTAGAGATCATTCACCTATAGAGCAGGCTGCTGCCATCATAGACTGAGGGCTGCTTTTTATCTGCGGTGTGATCATACAGCTTATGAGCAATATAATTTATTTAAAAATCATTCAGTTCAATGCTTTGGATAACATTTTAACACTCAAGCACAAGTAGGTAGCTGCAGCTAAAATTCATTTAAGTCTGCTCTAGTGTTGATCAAATTATTTGTTTGTGGGACGCATTTACAATAAAATGTCTGATTTACATTTACATTTACTCATTTGGCAGACGCTTTTATCCAAAGCGACTTACATTTGTGAAACAACATACAAACATCAACAAAGCATCAAATACAGCACGAGATCTACAACTGACAATACATACTAGTAAGAGCAGCAATAAATACTAGTAAGAGCTAATAGCACATATCGCATCAATGGGGTAAATACCTAGGGAAAGACATAAGAGTTAACAAAAAAGTGCAATCAATAAAAGACAATTGTAAGGGGATAGAAGAAGAAGAGCACAGGAAGTGTATGTTAGAGGTTAGGAGTTAGAGGTGACTTCTTGAAGTTAGAGAGGGACGCCACTGAGTGTAGCGGCAAAGAAGGAACGTAAACTTGTATAATGGAGTTTAGGTAGATGGGTGCAAACTCAGTAGTCACTGTATATGCAAGTATTAGTGACTTGAATCTGATTCTGGAGGCCACGGGGAGCCAGTGGAGGTCAGACAGTAATGGAGTGACATGAGTCATTTTTGGGTTGATCAAAAACCAGACGCACTGCTGCGTTCTGAACCATTTGTAGGGGTTTCACTGCACAAGCTGGAAGACCTGCGAGCGAGACTTGTGTTCCTAAAACTTTTTGTAGCTACTAGACCACAAAATACGTGAAAATACCAAAATTACCCTTTTTTAAAAATTATTTCTGAAGAGGAAAACCCCCTGTTTTTTAGTTGTCTGATACTTCCTCCCTTCCTTGCCTCTGGTTTGGTCACAAAGCAGCATACTGTAGCTGTCAGGAGTCATGAGATCAGCAGCAGTTATAGTGCATTACCTTGTTCTACAGCAGTCAGTCAGTGACTCATGATGTGTGACTGTTAAAAATGCCTTCAACAGTATGCCATGACAAGCAAACAAAAACACCATTAAGATTACATTAATACTTTTTCAACCAAACATGAAGTGAACAAGTTCAGAATAATGATCACACATGGCAAGGTAAAACTCAAGTTAGTATGTGGATGCGGCAAAAGCTTTATTTCACAAACCATTTTGACTGGGCTCATTTGTTACATTTTGTGTCTATTTAATTAGAGCTGGACAAATAACAAATCGGACTAACTGCAACCGTGTATGTTGGCCATTAGGTAAATACGAAATAGCAGTACAGAAATGCCAAGCTGATAAAAATATTACTGTAACATTGCAGTGGGAGTTTACCTGAGTTTCCAGCATGTTGTGTCAAGATGTGTCCGTCTGTCTATAGTTGCTGTCACACTTTTTTCCCGGGAGTATTGTGCCAATATGCCGGCAGCCGCGCTGTATCAGCCGGGCTGTTGGTAGAAACAGAGCCGGAACATGTCTGTTTGTTTCCGTAATGATTGTGGGATCTCTGTATTCGGATAATGCTCGCTAGTGAGTTCGAGCCGAGCACGCGTACGAGCACACACGGTTGCAATCTTAAAACCGCACCGCTAGTGGCCACTGAAAACTACATATTGCCCCTTTAAGATAATTTTGAAAGAGTGTCGTTGTTACATAGTTTGTCCAAAGCACTAACAAGCAAAATTTTACACTGTTAAATGTCCTGTTCAGTAAACATGGTCACATTTCTCTAAAAAAAAAAAATTAAGGGCTCTTTGTCAAAATTTTGTGTGAATGTAAAAAAATTAGTATATAATATATAAGCCCATATATCATCATCCTTCTTTTAGAACTGTCCAGTATTGTTCTGGCTCTTATCTTATTTTAGTTTTGGCTGTTTGTGATTGTGTAGATAAAAACTAAATGTTTTGAAATCTGATTTTCTATACCTCTCTGACAATGAGCTTCCACCCCCTGTGTGATGTCTTCATTTTATGTTGCATGAATTCACAACAAATGATTCAAACTGACTCCATGTTACGGTTAGTGGTGGTGTGGAGGCAGGTTGGAGGACCCAAACGCAGGACACAAGGCAGAGGAGGAACAGTCGAATGGAGTTTAATACAAACTAAAGGCGAGCACACTTACAGACAGACATGAGGCTAACGAGGGAGGCAGAGAGACAGCAGGAAAACAGAGATGCAGGCAGGCACAACGGGGGGTAACAGAGAACACTTAGACAAGCAGACATGGGTGAATAACCAAGAATGCACAAGTACGGGCTAAACAGAACCAGTAAATGAACAAGGGAATACACAAGACAAAACCGGGAACACAAGACCAGGAGTAAACACAAAAGATATTAACTAATGTACAGGACTAGGAACTAACTGAACAAGACTACACAGAGAAACACAGAACCTAAAACAGACTTAAACAGGAAAGACATGAACACAAAAACCACACTCCTAACACTCCAATGTAACAATACCTTTTGCTTCGAGATGTAGTGTTGGTTTCATCAATGCCAATGTTGGCAGGTGGTTCAGCAGGAGGGGTCAGAGGAGAAGGTGGAGGAGTCTGGTTCTGGACTGGTTGTTCCACTCGTTTAGCCTGGCTGGTTGACAAACCTTCCTGGATGGCAGTGATGGCAGGGGTCTCTATTAAAGTTTGTTTTTTCATTTCATTGCAGTAGTAAGGTGTTAACTAAGACATCAAGGCCTTATAAATGAAAACATGAGCATATAGTATATCTCCATAATCCAGTTTAAGAAATGTTATGTACAAGGACATATTATGTTAAAAATTTGCTTTCCTTTAAAACTAAGCCCCCAAAACATTTAATTATTACATTAAACCACTTGCTAATTTTCTCTGGAAGTGTGTGATCCACCTCCTGTCAATCACAATGCAGTCGTACCAACATATACACCAAAGCACAATGCTTCCACCTGTCACAGTCCATCAACCGAAACAAAATCAACACAATTATTGCTTTAATTTTTTACAGTTTTCCAAATGTTTGGACATCATTTGTGTCTGGATATTTACTCACATACTCACAAAAAACATATTGTCTAACACAATAAATAAGTGTACTGTACATAACTACAAAAAATATGAAATGAGAGGAGAAACGACTCAAATCACATTTGAATGGTGCTTCAAGGCAATCATTGCCCAGTTTGGGTCCCTGCACTGCTGCTGGAGTCATGTCTTCCCATCTCACCAGCTGTTTACGCATCATGAGCCCACTCTGAAGCTGCCTTTTTCTTCAGTGAACAACATTTTTAAGGACCCAAATGTAGTCTGGACCCACACAGGCTGCTCTGAGAAGTGCAGACAGATGGCTGTTTGTGGACTGAATGATAAACACTGAGTCCTGTGTTTTGGATCTGCTGTTGCCAGGGTCACTCACTGTGTGTATGTGTGTGTGTCTGTGTGTCTGTGTGTGTGTGTGTGTTGTTATAGGAGGAGTTTTGTTTCCCTGTGGAGTGTCTGTCTCTGACAGTGGAGGAGGTGATGCACATCAGACAGGTGCTGGTTAAGGCAGAGCTGGAGAAGTTCCAGCAGTACAAAGACATCTACAACGCTATGAAGAAGGGAAAGGTAACTTCTTCTTTTATGACACACATTACTTGTATCATCTACAGTGTAAAACAACAACAACAGCTGTAACATCCTTTATGAATGAGTAGGCCTGTATCTTTCCCTGACTTCCCTATGAGGAAAATAGCATGCAGATCTTTTCCAACTGAAAAGTTCCAACAGATTACATTTGGTCAAATTCTTGATGTTTACATTTGTTTCTTTTAATTCTAACATCTTATTCATCTGTTTTTTGCAGCTTTGCTTCTGTTGTCGAACTAAAAGGTTCTCCTTTTTCACCTGGTCGTACCTCTGCCAGTTTTGCAAAAAGTAAAACCACTCACATGATTATCTTCATCTTTTGCATTTTAAATCTATTCAGAAGGAAGTGTGACTGTTTTCATTCATCACTTCCCCTGTTTTTTTCTCTCCTTTCTCCTTGCAGGCCTGTTTGTTCACAGTGCTGCAAAAAGGTAAGTCAAATAGTCCAGTCAGTTGCCTGTGCAGCACGAGATCCTGCGAGATTTGTTCTTATCAGTCAGCTGACAGGAAAGTGGGGCCATTCAAAAAGCTGAACTTTAAGTCAGTTAAAAGTATCATAGCAACCAAATTGTATTGCTGATGATGTATTTCCTGTTTTGCATCATTACAATGTTTCAAGATGCTCACCAAAGTAGTTTAACTGAGATTTTAAATCCGTACATTCATAATAGCGTACAGAAATCTGAAATCTGACAGACTTATGCTCCTTCTTCCCTCTCTAACAGATGCGACTGCCGTCCAAACCTTATTCCAGCTTGCCCATCTATTCCATTGGCTCGACCAACACTCTCCCCAGGCAGAGGGTAAGTGCTATGACTGCTGTAGGACAAGGACTCTCTGTGGCTGGAGACCCGAGACCGTCAACAGTGGGAGAGTCCACGGCGCCTCCAACTTTGAAAGGAGCAACAACAGGAGCATCTAAAGGAGCTGGAAAAGCCCCAGGAGCAGCAGCCGCTGCTGCTAAATCTGAGAAATCCTCCAGCAGCCTGCAGCGTCACGGCATTCAGAAGACCATGTCCAAGTAAGAGCTATGAGCACAAATATTCAGTCTGTCAAGAGTGCATGATATGTCCTGATATAATACAGGTTCTCCTGTAGAGAGTTTGTATGATATTGGTACAGTGGCTTCTAAGATAAAAACACATATTATCTAAGAGTGAAAGTACATACATTATAAGAAATTACGTCTGAAAACACATTTGCTCATAATCACAAAATGCAGAAAATACTAAAACACAAACATCATAGTGGCTGCTGCTTGGGTACAATCTGTTCTCCTCACCTATATCCAGTGTGTATCTTTGGACGATGTGCACAGTCCTGCGACATCTAGTGGCTGAAAAGTATTGTGGCTGTAGCAAGTAAAAGACAGGAGTAAAGTCTTTATTTATTCATTTATTGTATCAACTAATTATAAGAAATGTAATACTCATAACACAACAACTTAATTAATTATGCAAATTAGCTTCCCGGCTAAATGCATGCTTGTAACGTTAAAGTTAGCAGGTTATGACATAATATTTACCGTTTATCATGCTGTCATATATGCACGATAACTCAAATTTAATGGCGATCTGTCCAACAACAGCAACAACCAAGTCAATTAAAGGTTTGATGCCTCCAAATTATTGAAAAAGAAAAACATATTTTCTTAACTACCCCTAGGGGTATATGCAGATAATTTTGGTTTTATCTGCACAGCTTTTGAGATTTCCCTCTCTAAGACTGATACCTCCTCCCCATTGCAATGGTGGTGAATTCCATATCTCTCTCCAGAAACAGTGTCCTTGTTACTCTTAAAAGTATAAAAAGTACTTGTAAAAATATTAAACTATATAAAATAATAAAACAATACACAGGGTGGCAACACCTCAAAAACTGAACAAATTAAATGTAAGTAATACAGATGACTAGATACCACTACAGGTTAGTTGAAAAATATGTTTTTCTGTAATTAGGGTGAAGCGTCCCTTGTTTATGACCACCCACATACTTGACCACGTTCCCTGGATAATTTGGACAATTAGAGTCAATCAAACTGTAATACCAATTCATGCCAAGCTGTCCTCCTGTTTCTGTTCAATGTAGGCTTTCAAAGCATGGCTCCTTAAAGTCCCATGAAGAGCTGGAGCTACCCCCGGAGCTGACGGAAGACTGGGCCACCATGGAGGTGTGTGTAGACTGCAAGAAGTTCATCACTGACATTATCGCCTCCAGCAAGCACAGCCTGTCATTGGCCACCAAAAGAGCTCGCCTAAAACGCAAGACCCAATCCTTCTACCTGTCCTCCCCTAAAGGAAGGGAGGAGTACCGGCCCTCTGAACGAACAATCAAAGAGATCTAAATATCACTCTGGCTGCTTACGGCTCCAATGGCACAATTATAAAGACTCAACACTGGATGTGATCCTACTGTACATGTACACTTCAATCTGATAAAGCTGTCAGAATGGCTGATCTGAAGCTCAGTGGTGGACAGTGTGGTTTTTGTTGCTCTGTCCTGATCATTGTGTACAGCTCCTTCAGACAGCAGCATACTATAGATCTGCCAACCTTTTTTTTACTTACCATATCATGAATGACCCTTTAATATCTGGCCACAGTGTTTGAGTAAAGATACAAAAACTGTTGTGATGACAAATTGCTCAAAGTGGAATGACTTTCCTCCCCTCTGATGGCACAACAGCATGGTCCAACCCAACTCACATTAAGATCAATAAGCACAAGAAGGATCCATGTTTGTTTGACTTCCTCAGGCACAGGCACTGCAGAAGACACAGGGCCTGCAGAGAGATCATGTTGTAAACTGAGAGTGTCACATTCAAGAATATATGGAATATTGAACAGTACATTTTGTATGGTTTTTAATTTAGTTGGGTTTTTTTTAATGTGTGTACAGTAAATGATTGTTCGATGAAAAGTCACGCTCTGTTTTTGATTAGCAGTTTTATTTTTGCTGATGATGAGACTTTCCCACACGTTCAACTTTACTAAACATACAAGCAATTCGTTTTTTGCATCATATTTAGAAATCATCTGCATCATTATGCATATTTAGTGCCAAATAATAACTTGTTGATGATCTACATGCCACCCAAAGAAAAAAATATCCTCTGATGTATGTTTGAAGCAGTCTTGCAACATAATTATTTAACAAACTTTAAAGCCCATGAAAACATGATTTTAAATCTCACTATAACCTTCATTATGCATTAAATAAGCACAGAAGCAGTCCTGCTTCGTCAGGACTCTGTGGGCATGATTTGATCCGATTTGATTGACAGTGATGTGACAATCAAGCAATTTTAGTATTGCATTACCATAATGTAAGGGAACTTGTAAGAGACAGATTAAAAAAACGTTGTTCATAACTTCAGTTTAAGAGGCTGAAATATGGGTTCAAAAAACGCTCAAAAAATGCTAGAGCCTACATTTACCATGATGCAACACCTACGCATCTTTTGTAAACCATTCCTAACTGCTAAATACCCACACCTTTCAACCTCCACGGCCCGAGTTGGTAACAAACCATACATTTGATCATCAATCGATAAAATATAATCAAACGTAAAATGATAATTTTCCTTCTGAGCCACAGAAGACGCTCGACGAGAGTTTTCATTGTTGTCACAGGCTCAGTAATACTCATAATGAGTAAACTGATCTTCATGTTCTGTGAAGTGCCCCTATTAACAAACACCCCCACAATTGCTAATTGAAACAAAGCTAAATACTAATTTCTCCAGGGAAGTACATGATATCTGCCTGTTTCCAACTGAGACTCGCCCTCAAACCAGTGAGAAGAGCACATGTGAAACAGAAAATACAGTAAGAAGCAGATTAAAAACATGATTTTAAAGGGCCTTTAAAGCACATTTCTTAACCATACATTTATACCATATGTTCATTTGCAACTACATTTTAACTTAAACAGATTCAGGCATAGAAACATCATTACCTGCAGTATCATGTGTTGCAGGACCGCCTTTTAATAATAATAATAATTTACAGGAAATATCTGCATATCTTTGCATTTTTAAATATTCCTTTGCATTGATAAATATGTTGTATGTATTATCCTCCTTTGCTTATCTTTACATTAAGTACCTGTGTAAAGATTAGTCATAATAAAAACACCTCATGTTAATGTTTTTGTACAGATGTAGTTGATGAGTTCACTGTACAGGCAGCAAAAAAATAGCATACTGTCTTGCTGTTCAACACACACTGTAAGTCTTAATATAATGCCTTTATGATTTCCCTCCATCTTTCAGTCTCACTGGCGGGGAGAAATACCTGACTTGTGGCCTGGATGTCCATTTGATTCTTCATCACATTCCTTGTCTTCCTCCTTAACATATTTCTGCCTTAAAAATTGCCTTTTATGATCACACACATGTTGAACAGTCATCTACTGTAACTGTACATACCTTGTTTCTGATGGTTTGTTTGTAGATCTGCTCTGTTTTGCCTTGATGGTATCTTGACAGTGGGACTGCTGTAGATCTGTGTCTCTGAGAGGGAAACTACCCAGTATAGTGTGTTCAGGGGAGGAGTGGGAAGTCCACAGAAGAAACCTCACAGTGTGACAGCATCATGCATGTACTATGGTGTAGCTTGTACCTTCAGTCTGTATTACCTTCAAGCTGTAACTCCTTGCAGAGAGTGCAACAAATGATGACTACAACAATAAAGTGTAATGCAATACCTGATCAACATATCTTCTTTGTGTTGTAATCAAAAATAATGCAAAAACATGTTTAATCTGTGTCTTGGAATGGCTCCTAGTGTCTCTCCAGGCAGATCAGGATGGTGATAGGAAGTCTCCAATCAGGGCTGGATCCAGAATCTCACAGCCTGAGACACAGGAGTGCTCCTATAGACAATCTCAATCTAACATTATTGGAGACCCCTCCAATGACAACGGGGGTCCAAAAGGAATCTAATGGAGAAGCTGGCTGACTGTAAATGAACTGGGGAGCAATGGAGGTCTGCAGACAGTATCCAGTCCAAACTCTCATGCTTGAGACAACAAACATGAAAAACAGCCTGATGGGACCAGACTGGACACTGGAAAGTGTCTCAGAAACCGCCACGGCCTTTGTCCAGTACAGTACTGAGGTGTTTGTGTGATACCTAGAAATGAAATGCAATGTAGTATTGTAATGTAAAGAAATTTGAAAGATGTGGGCATTTACTAGACAGGGTCCAAAAAAAGATGCAATTGGTTGAGTTGCATTATGGGGCAGGTAGTATAGAATTTTTGGAGTTTGACCAAAGATTCAGAGTCCAAAGTCAGGACATCGCTGCCCTCTTGCTTTGTTTTTGACTATTCAATTTATAAAATCTGTTTTAGATGTGGCTCTAGATTGTCAAGTGACATCTGCAAAAAAAAAGATGTTGATTTGTAGTATGGAGTGTGGAGATATGTGAGGAGACCTTGTAGCTCAGTCGATGTAGTGAAGCTCAGTGGATAACATTAACTTGAAAAACGAGGCAGCAAAAGGTTGTTTGATTTATCAAACACGTGTCACTGATACATCATTAATTAGTTAATTAATTAATACTTGCCGGAATGGAGCCATGATTGATGTTATTAGTTACAACTGTCTCTTGTGAAAAATATCTAACTAACATCTAATTTTTTACCAATATAATATGTAAATGTAATATGACAGATTCTACACTAAAGTAAAATAGCAGGTAAAGTCTCACATACTGTGTCTTGTAGTTTCACATAAAGACATGTGATCTCTTGTATATTGTCTAGATCGCACTGGTGGCTGAACTTTTGAGGCTTCAGCAGAAAAAGCAGCTCCCATCTGAGGTGACTGCTAAAGATAGGACTGAGCTGCTGCTGAGAGTGCAGTGAGTTACTGACACACGCACACACAGTCCAGCACTTCACCAGTCCTTACCTCTGCTCCTGTCTCACCAATCTGTCTGTAATGAGGAAGAGAGGAACGCTGAAGATGAAACTTGTGTTTTCCTTCTGTTTGAAGCAGTGATCATGGTAGAACATAGGAAGTACTAGAGCTGCCACCTTAGTGTAGAGGAGCTGGGTGGAGGGCAGCCACCTTTCCTGTTGAGGTTGGCTGCAGAAGTTTTATGGGATCATCCACCCAGCGCTTCCTGAAGACCATGTGCACCTAGTTTGGTTTTCCATTATGGAAAAGTTGCTGCTTCCAGGTACTTTTTTTCGTATCACCTCCGTCGAGGTTCCAAGCGAGCTGAGGCGAAACTAAAATGTGACGTGAAAACACGGCAGACTAGGCCTACTGATTGGCCAGAGAGAATTGTCAGTGTTCACTGCGTCATCATTGCGCACGCCTGACAGAGGCCAGCAACAGAAAGTTTTATATTTTACAGTTTTCGTATGTAATTTCATCACTAAATCCACTTCGGAGAAGTTTTGAGGTGATAAATCAACTGTGTAGATTTCGAATATTGACAGTTTTACAAAAAATAATGGCAGAACAAAAATGTGCTTGAATGTTTTCGGTGGGAGGAAGCCTGGGGCAACCCGCGGGAGGGGCTCCCGAAGCCGGCCAGCCGCCCGCTCACAGAGCCCTTTGCTCCCACCGTCACACAGACCGCTGCAGCAACAACGGCAATATCGATAAGATCTTTCTAATAAATAAATAAAGTTGTGTGTGGGGCTTTTGTTGTTCAGACCTACAATGAACACAGATTTTAACAAGACAGTGAACCGTAAAACAACTCAAATATAAGACTGCAGCTACACTTGAGTTTAATGTTACCTGAGACAGTTTGAGCTCGACTTTCCTGCTATGAGACTGAGAGCTGAGAAGGAGAAGGAGGTCAAGCATCGCTCCAACCCTGGGAGTCAAACCGTCCTGTTCTGTCCCTGCTCCAGACAGACAGCCTGCAGATGCTGACGCTGATCCTCTCCTGCTTCAGCACTCTGAGGCCCTGGACATCATGAGATAACACTTCTCCCAGATGGAAACAGAACTGGCACAGATCAGAGAGCAGATGGACCAACAGCAGCCTACCTCTCCTACTGTCAGTGACTTCCACACCAAGAAAGAACAGGACTATTTCAACTCACAGCTGAGAGAGTTTCAACAAGAACTAGCTCGTCAGAGAAGACAGCTGGATCATCTAAGTGAGGAGATGAAGGAACTTAGGAAGGACAGAGACAACTGCAGAACTGAGTTGGCTATACTGAGAGAAGAGCTACAGGACAGGGACAGGCTCAGTCTACAAGCCAGACTGAACTCCACACAACCCCTTGTGCCCGCCTCTCAGATCCAGACCACATCCAGCCAAACTCTCACTACACCTGCTGAAGGACAACACAGCACTTTCCTCGAGGGGTTCCCACCCTTGCTAGGACCCTGAAGGATGTTACTCTTGGAAGGAGCCTCACCACCACTCCAAGGGGTAACCACACAACGCAGACCCCACGCAGACCTCCAGGACCTCCTAGACCTTCAAGACCATCCGGACCTCCACCATGCATCTACCCCCGGCTGTCAGAGAGGACAGCCAGGTCACCAAATCCACCGCGTCACCAACATCACAACCCACAGCCCACTTCACAGCCAACACAACACTGGCCTCTGATACCCAGCCAGAAAGCCCCCCCAGCCTGGAGGTCCTATACCCCGCCTCATCCTAACAGCAGAACCAAGACTACAGGAGCAGCAGCCTGTTGGATTGAACTGTGCTGCAGCGGTGAACTCTGGTGAACTCAAAGACATATTACACATGCTAAACCTGCTCTGCTCTTGCCTCATATAGCTTCATGATGGAAGAGCAGAGACCTCTTAGAGACATCACAATAATTCATAATTTAGCATATTGGGTATCATTTTAAACGAAAGGACAATTCTCAACAGTATTTCACACATGATACACTCTAAAATGTCACTCAAAGTTTAATATATTATTCATTTACCTACAATACTATTTTCCTCTTTTTACACTTTTTTTTCTTTTTGTTTGTTACTATTATTTTTTAATATCTAATTTATTATTATTATTATTAATTGTTTTTTAAGGTGTTTGTTTAATTTTTTAACGGATTACACTTGGAGATGAAATCGTTTACAATAACATGTTGGAACATTCAAGGTCTGAGATCATCAGTTTTTGGTTTAAAGAGCAGAAATCCAGATTTTAATACAGAGTTAAAAGACTCTGACATCATAGTTTTACAGGAGACATGGTGCAGATAAGAGGTTTCCACTGGTCGTCCTCAAGGCTACACTGAGATTAAAATACCATCAACAAATCATCCCACAATAACCCAAGGCAGAGATTCAGGAGGCATGATTATATGGTGTAAATCAGAACTGAGCCAGTCCATCACAGTTATTAAAAAAGAAGAATCTTATATATGGTTGAAAATTAACAAACAGATGATTTGTGCTGAGCAACATGTCTACATGTGTGCCATCTATATACCTCCATCAGAATCCCCCTACTACAACCCAGATATTTTCTCTATTCTTGAGGAGGAAGTTAACCATTATAAAACCATGGGAAATGTATTACTCTGTGGGGACTTGAACGCTTGAACAGGGGAAAGAGCTGACACTATGAACACCCAGGGAGACAAACACTTACCTGGAAGCACCTGCTGCCCCTTCCCTGAATGTCCTGCTAGAAAGAGCTTTGACAAGCTTACTAATACAAGCGGTATGCAGCTTTTACAGCTCTGCCATACACTGGGTCTGTACATAGTCAACAACAACAAATTAAGGTGGCAGGTGACAATTCAAAATATGAAAATATAAAGGAATATAATGCAGTAATCAGCAGCTTGTTACTATTTTTTTGCGTCTGGGGTGAAAGTAAACAGCAACAACAAGATGATTACATAATTTTTCCAATAATTTCTCAACACTTCTGCTCTTGTAGGTGCAGAATGAGAGATTCAGAAACCTGACGTACTGTTACTAAAACGACAGGTTCACTCGTAAATGATGTGTTTTAATTAAAACACTATTTACCTGCCACGCTATTGTCATGTTATTGGTTTTTCAATAAAGTTAAGTAAAGAAAGAAAAACGTGTTGCCATAGTGACGTGTAAACTGTCGGCTTAGAGCAGCTTGGTTTTAGAAAATAGTTTATTTGTTTTGAAGGATAAAATAAGTTAGTATTGACCCAGAGTGAGAGTGACTGTTACGGAAAGAAGTGAAGTAAGTTTTCTGCTGTTACGCTTGATATTGTCTCTTCCCGTGAAACGGAAAGTTAGCTAGCAACTTAGAGAAGCATCACTTAGCTGTTACCTGCTTACCAATAAAAGTAACGTTACATGCCTTGTGAAGCACACCAGTTCTATTTATCCTCTCTTGTTGAATTTGGCATATTTATCAGCATTATTTGGCATAAATATATATTTCCCCAAGGTTTGGGAAAGCACAATGCAAGGAATAACTTGAAGATAAATGTTTAACTACCTAGAAACTACGCTTTTCTTGTCCTTAGCCGCACATGCCTGTGTGAAGTGGAATTAACAACAAAATCTCTCTCATGTCATTCTCCACACAGGATGTCTTTATCCCGGATTCAGAGTCTGAGACTGGCAGCTGTACTGGAGGACTGTTCAGACCAGTTGGACATACTGGGGCATACATTGACAGTGCAGATCCGCAGGGAGCAAGACACTGCAGCAGCACAGGTGAACTTGACTGTGTTTATGTGTTTATGAAATGTTCATGTTCCCAGTCCAGAGGAACATATGTTCCAGCAGCTGTCTGCTACTTTGATCTGAGGTTATTCTCCAGTTCACGGTCTTCTTGGACACATTTCGACTAAAATATTATTATGATTTGTGTGTGTGTGTGTGTGTGTGTGTATTTAGGAGAAAGCCAGACTGACTAAGCTCAGAAGAGACTGGTGAGTAGACAGAAAAACATTATGTTGCGTCAACATTTCTTATGACTAAGGCTGTCTGTCTCTGCAGTCAGTACATCTCGCAGCAGATTTTCAAGCTGCATTTGGAGCTGGAGGAGAAGCAAAGTTTCCATTCTCTGCAGCAGGTTGTGGAGGAAGAGGAGCAGAAGAAGATGGCTGAGAACATGAAAAGGTTCATCACAGCATCTTTTGGAGACATTACTTGAAACTAATCTTAATCCTAACACTTTACTACAAGAGGTCATTTTGTAGACACAATGTGATGTGATTTCTGAGAATATATTGCAGAGGAAATAAAGTGGTTGGAGGGAAAAGGGGAGAAAGGAAGTTGGAAGTCTGTGTTGTATCAGTAATGTGTCTCTCTGCCCAGGGAAGCAAAGAGGGAGCTGGAGCAGAGAAAACAAACTGTACAGAGACAGCAAGAGGAATTCCAACAGAAGACTGAGAAACTGGCGGTGAGAAACTGAGTAGATTCAGAAACCAAAACTTTCTGCATGAGTGGCTGATAAGTGAGAATCTGTTTAATTAACTGATGCTTTATTTAAGAACAAAATCAAACATGTTAATCTGCAAATTGGTAATCCAAGGTGTCCAATACTTTCCCCACTCAGGACATGTACATGCTTGCCAAAGACCTGAAGTTTCAGCTGAATGAGCAGTCATCAAAAATTGCCAACAAGAAGAAGATCGTGGAGAAAAACATCGAGCTGCAGCTCCAGCAGACACAGAAAGAGACCAGCCAGACTGAGAAGCTGCTGGAGGACCAGCTGGAGGTGGGCCCAACATCTATTCCTGTCCAGTCTGACAGTAGATAATTTCAAATTGATCCTCCATCAGAGTCCAGACATGACCATGAATAATGACCAAGGTTCTTACATTGTTCTCAGACTTACGCAGTTATAAATGTACACTTACATGTTGTCCAAGTCACATCTTTTCTTATCTCTTTCTCTCTCAGCTGATGCAGAAACAGTTGAAGGAGGAGACAAGAATTCATGAGAAGTCCAAGGCATTCCTGCAAAATCAACATGAGGTTGGTACTAATATTACTATTATTATATAATTGTTCCTTTTGGAGGCTATTGCTCTGTCATTAGCTTAGCTGCAGTTAAAGGTTTAAGAAAAGTCTGGATCAAAATCACATGATCACATAAAGCCCAATGCTGTGTAAATGTGTAAATCCAGTTCCTGTAGAAAACCCCTTAATGCCACTAGAGGTCACTGTATCTGAGATTTAAATTAAACCTGTAGCACACCAGGGTCTGTATTTATCAAAGTGCTAAAACTGTGACATTTTGTGAAGATGAAAGTAAAAACCCTTCACTTGTGCTGTGCTGTACTGTACTGTTACCGCACTTGCAAACATAAAAATAAAAAGTATTTATCAAATCTTAAGGCTTCAAAATACTCAGTACAGTACAGAAACAGAACTAAGGACACACCTCTTGAGACATGGAGGCATTGTACAATATACTATAGATCATTACATCAAAAGAGCAGTTTAGATAATTCAGGATAGGCTAGTTTAGATTATTATTTGCATTTGATTTGAACATTTGATTTGAACATTTGATTTGCATCTTCATTGTCTGCACTGCTAACAAACTGAAGAGGTCAGTTCTTACAGTTAATGTATTAATTAATGCACCAGCACAAATCCAGTACCAACAGGGAGGAAATGTGGAACTTTGTGAGTAAAGTCAGTTTCATAATCCATGACAAGCAGCTAATCTTGTTGTTGCTATTGTGTTCTCAGGAGTTGCAACAGCAGCTGCAGCAGTGGCAGCAGCGTACAAAGCAGATGCTGCAGGAGATGGAGCAGCAGCTTAACAGTGTGCGCTGCAAAAGGACTGTGAATTTGGACAGACTGACGGAGATGAGGAGGAAGGTGAGCAGCTCCTAGCGCTGAACAAGACCCAGGGAGCAGCTGCCGATTCTGAACAGGATGCGCAGTCACTACTTTGACTAATGAGATGCTGAATTGTGTTCAGTTCAGGGAGATGGAGCAGGTGGTGATGGAGGACAGGGCAGAGCAGGAGAAACTACGCCAACAGCAGGCAGAGGCCAGAGCTGCTACCAAGGTAATAACATCCAATCAGAAATCATCCATGAGCCTTACCACGATGCTCTATTATTAGATCAATCAATGTTGTTATTTAGTGTACCGATTCCTAATTCAGACCCTGACCTGTGACCTTTGACCCTGCAGCTGCAGGCCTGGTGGAGAGGCTGCATGGTCCGCCGGGGCCTCGGTAGTTTTAAAAAACCAGAGGATGTCAAGAAAGGCAAGAAAAAGAAAGAAGGAAAGAAGAAGAAGAAGAAATGAGTTTTCTCTATTGCTCCTTTGAGATGTTGAAATAATGTATATAATTCAATAACAATAAACAGATCTCTATCATCTTTATTTTTAATTATACAAACATATTTTTGTCATTTCAAACATATAGTGTCCACAAAATCTCTCAACAAAATAAAAGTAATAAGAAAAGTAGCACATTGTGAAAATTAACATGGAGCATTTTAGCATCACATCATATAAACATCAGCAGACACAATAGTAGAACCTTGATTCAAAGTCCTTTCATTGCATATTTTTGTGCGGTGTGACCTGAGCATTTTACACTAAATATAAAAATGCAAAAAATCTAAATGAGTTACAACAATGAGCACTACTACGTAGTCTACTATTAATGACCATAGGCCATACATTTACATTTATTCATTTAGCTGACGCATTTATCCAAAATGACTTACAATTTCTATACATGTCAGAGGTCACACGCCTCTGGAGCAACGAGGGGTTAAGTGTCTTGCTCAGGGACACAATGGTGGATGAGACACAGTGGGGGATTGAACCTGGGTTGCTCACACCAAAGGCATAGTCTTATCCACTGCACCACTGCCATCCCCACTGTCATACATTAGGACAAACACAAAGCATTTTTTTTGTTTGCCTGTGCAATCACACAACATGAGTTGAAAAAATGGATCTAACAAAGTATATCAGTCAGCGTATCAGGCCACAGGACATCAAGTGCCGAAAGATCAGATGATCATAGAGAGACGAGTCATTTGATAGTCACATCCATGTGGGAAATAAATGCAGTAAAACTGCTCCCACCTTTATGTCCTCATGTCTGACATGGGAGAAGAGGCCCCAACATTGCAAAACAGGAAAGTCCTTACTTAATAGGATTATCTTACCAAAAGGTTTGGGCAGTTGACGTTTGTTTGTGTGTGCTGAAACTATTACAACACTTGGAGAACTGTGATTAATTATGGTTATGTTTTCAGTACTCGCAAATGTCAGGACCAGAGCAAAAAAGTCCTATTACACTATAACAGTAATGATGTAAGTCAAAATGAAAAAAAATGAAAAAAATGATATGGTTCCATCTCCTTTTTCTTTTCTTTTTGTTTTAGCTATCTATGATCTTTGTTTTGTCAAAAAATTTTTTTACTTTTCTGATTCAAAATAACAGGCAGATTTATAATAATATAATACTTAAATTATTGTTAGATGTAGCCTGAAAAAATACTAAAGGAGTAGAGAAGATGACTGGCGACCTGTCCAGGGTGTACCCCGCCTTTCGCCCAATGTAAGCTGGGATTGGCTGCAACCCCCAGCGACCCTGTATGCAGGACAAGCGGTTGACGATGGATGGATGGATAGAGAAGATGGACACTGGGTCTGCCAGTGCCAAAAACCAAACCCAGAAAAAGTAAAAGCAGACTGGAAACAAATCCAAAAGTTGAAAAAAAGTGGTCTGGAGATGGAAATTATCTGACCTAATACTATTATCATGCCATAGATGGCAGTGCTGCTAGAGCTCATTTTGTGTGTGTGTGTGTGTGTGTGTCAGCTCTGCGCGGCCAAAGCTTCACACTTGGGGTTCTTCTGTTTCAGTCGAGCGGATCTGCTCAGCGTGCATGTAGTTGTTGTCTCCAATGATGACACAATTGAGATAGGAGCTGTGTATGTTGACGCTCGCAGCCTCCGCTGATGGAAGAGGAGGACAGACAGGAGGAGGAGGTGAAGCAGAGGTGTGTCCTGCGCCCTTCTGTCCACGGCTGCAGCTGCACCTCGCCTGATCTGTAACACACAAACAAATGAGATGTTTTCACTACTTATGAGTACAGTTTGAGTGCTGTGACATGTTTAGTACAACTACTGCAGATAATATGCAAATAATAGAATATAGGAGAGTATAAATTGCCTCTCAAAGTGCTTTAAATTCATAGAAATAAGCTATAAATTAGGTTTGTCCACTACCAACCGTGCATTTGGTGCTCAGATCCCTGTAGTAGAGGCTGACTTTGTGCCACAGCAGATGGGTCGTATCCTATAACGCAGTCATTCAAGGTGGAGTTGCTGATGTTCACAATCAAAATGGTGGAAGGCAGACTCCGCAGTGTCACTGGTTAATGAGTGGGCAACCAAGAGAAGGGGAAAAGGGAAGAGATTATGAGAACGGGAAGTTGTTTCCAGAGTGATGTAACAGGAGAAATGCGTCATTATCACAAAGTATAGTTCCTGAATAAATGGAAAGGGTTTATTTCGCTGGTAGCCTCTTTCTACTGAAAAGCCACAACAAAGAATGTCTGAGCTTATTCTGCTGCCAACAAAGTTTTATTATTATTGTTAATATGCGATTAATATTAACATTGATGTTCTTGGTTCAAAGAGTTTGTCCAAGCTATTATCCATGCAAAGCATCTAAACAGAAACTAGTTTGTAACCAAACTGCAGCACAAAATGATAAAACACCTGTAGGTTTCAAGGACAAATAAACATATGAATCTGTTTATTTGGCACATACACATGCAATATGTGTAGTGAAATGCAAAGTGGCATGTAAAAATAAGAATTAGAAGAAGGATGTTTATTGTAAATACAGAAACCTAACAGAAATAGAAGAACTTACCTTGTGGAGTTTTATCCTGCGCATCTTGACATTTTTGACCTAAAAGATAGGGAAAGTTATGTTTAGATCACTGATGAATTGTCTTTTGGCAATATGACAACTTCAGTGCACATAAAGTGTGAGTTCAGTTTTTTGAGAAACAGGGACGGACAGTCACATCTGAAGAGACAAACACTGGACACACAGCAGCAAATGAAACACTGAGGACAATAATATAATTCATATTATAGAAAATAAAATTACCTATGCAGCATGTGACCTCTTCACACAGCGGAGTGACTGTGGGGCAGCAGAACAGCTGGCAGACCTTTCGGCAGCTCTTCAACGCCAGCATCTGCATCACCTGGATGAATCTCTGCATGTTGGAGGCTTTGCAAGTCATCACCTAAAGGAGAGAAACGGAGAGAAAGCGTCTTAGCTTCAAAATGCCACACAGCGACAACAACTCATACTAGAGATTCGCCTGGACGGCTTTCTGTCAAAACAACAGCCCACACCGCAAGACCACCTGGTGCTCAGCTCTGTTTTTTTAGGTCACATGATCTTTCCCCTGCCAATAACCTGAGGCCGGGAACTTTTTACTGTGATTAGGAAAAAAAACACATCTACCGCTAACAATTCCCGGAATTGTTGGTACGCTGGAGGAAATGGTCTTGATCATTTTACAAAATAGAGTGTAGAATATGCGGTTTAACCGGTATAAGCAGGTTGTAGACTTTGCAGGCGCTGGAAGTCAGGGAGAATTGGGGCTGTTGAGTGGCCAGGATCATTTTAATTATTAACTACACCAGATTATATATTTTATATTTCACACGACCACCAAACACACTGTGTCAAGGCATGCAGCTGCAACAGGTAACAGCAAAAAAAAACAAAAAACAGACAGAAAAACTCTATACGAAAGGGCTTAATGCGTTCGCGAATACATAGAAACGCTCCTAAAAAAGTAATAGGCTATGTAAATATTAAAGAAACCTACCTGATTGAACGGCGTTCTTTCTTTCATTTTCATACAACTGCCGTTATTAAAAGGACTCAGAGTTAGAGGGTCAGAGATGTCCATCATTCGTGTGGTAGCGATACTGTGCTCTTGAAAAAGACAACACATACTGATATGAATTTATCGGAAAAGTCCCTGTCGAAATGGCGCGTGCGCACTTCAACTTGGGGTTTCCATGTGGTCGGAGCCAGGCGAGAATTGCATGCACCTCCAAATACTGCTTTTAAACGCAATAATATTATTTGTGGGGTCCATCAATGGTGTTAAATGATTCTAAGTATATCTTTTATGAACGTTTAGAGTCACCTTTACGTTTAGAGACAGAAAGAACGACAGCGAGGTGCATGCAATTCTCGGCAGGCAAGCAGAATTCGGCACAACACCTGTTCAAGTGGTTTTTTTTAATTGTCTATATGAGTGGCAGCTAGCCCAAGCAGCATACCCCTTACACTGATAATGCAATTACTAGGCTAACCCTTGACAACTACTAATAGCAGAATGAAACGTTCATTTTCAGGCCTGTTATGCATTGGTTTCACTCAGAATTACACTCTAAACACTGCACCATTTTGGGAGCCCAACTGTCACCACGCAGGTTACATGTTTGCTCAGTGTGATATTATTGCAGGGAGTGATTTTGAGCCACACTTATGAAAAGCTAGGCTATAGTAGGTCTGCATAACAGTGACCCTTTTTCCCAAGTCTCTGTGTGACTGCAGTGAGTACATATTTGTCAGTGACTGACAACAGTAGTAATAGATAGACAACCTTTTAATGTTAAATTAAATTAAATCTGATTTTCTTTGTTTGGACAAATGCTGTTTCTCTAGTTCTCGCTCGTTGCCTTCGCTGCACCTCTTATACTCTTAATTCCAAGTGCAGCAGCGTTAAAACCATACAGTCTATGGTTAAAACACAGCACATTTCGTTTGGATAGATGCAACAAATTGACACAACAAAAGCTAGCTAGTTGTTTACTCTTGGAAATGAGATGGAAAGGACCTGTATTTTTCACTGATGCATCAGAAAGGAGGAAATGATGCAACAAGAATGCAAGATAATGTTGCAGTGCAAACTTCAAAATGATGATGACATCAAAATACCATACTTTATGGTTTAATGAAACATGACTTAACTATCTTCTTCAAAGTTAAACGGATTTGTTCCAGTCAGAATTGAAGATGAAATCCAAGTCTCTTGCAAATCAAAAAGCAAATCTTTCTGTTCTATCATTGATGCCAATTATTATCATAGCAGGAGTTTCTGGCATCAGCTTCTTCCAAGCTGCACCGAGAAGAATACAACAGGAAAAGTAGTGATACAAAAAAAAAAAATACTTCATTGTGAGACCAACATAGTTTGACTTGTGGCATTCATCAAGGTCATCATACAATACACTTTATGTTATAAAAATCTTAAAAAGTACAATTAAGAATAACAACTTATACACATAAATATCAGCCAATGAGGTGATCACACATGAGTTTGATAGTTCCAGGCCAGGCTTGTCATATTCTTGAGGCAAGGGGTTTCCCTAACGATGGATATGGGCAACACCACGTGATCATGAATGGGAGAAGTGCATCAAAGAGGAGGTAGTCTAACTGCTATAAAAGACGTCATTTCCCAAAATAAGGTGAAAATATGCTATGTCAAGTTAAAAAAAACAAGAAGAAGCTGAAGAGTCCTCAGTCATGACTACTGGAAATAAACGTGTTGCGAAAAAGTCAAAATGGTTCTCTGTGTTTTTACTGAGAAAATTTACACCATTGACTCTTTGGCTACAGGTAATAACTTTAATGCATGTAAAACAAAGTGAAATGTGATGCTTAATTTCAATTAAACATCTAGGTATATGGTCAATTACACTGCTCTTTTCCGAGGTCAAGAATTAACTTTCAATCTCAACATGCAAAGCGCAGAGCAAAAATTAAAAACCTGTAAAAACTCTGATACAGTATTAACAATGCAACTAAACCACTATTGGCCGCACATGCATGGAAAAATGTTTGTTTTAGAGTTTGTAGTACTCATGCAGTTAAGAATGAGTGGAAAATATCAGATTATGCAATTTCTAACCAAAGTTATATGGTAATTTAGCCTAAAATTATTCATGTAACACTATGTAATTTGAAGTAGCATCAGGCTGTAGTGTTATTTTTGTGAAATTATAGGTGTCACTTACACTGGGGATGCTGGGGACATGTCCACATTTGAAATGGCTGATTTTGTCTCCATCACTTTTTGAAAGCAATTGTTAAAAATGTTCCTAAAAATATCTTGCACCAAGAAATGTTAACTAATAAATTAAAATGCTTTGAGAAATGTTTATTTGCACAATAAGAAAACATGCAAAGCAATTTAAATATAGAAGAAACAAATGTGCATTGTCCAAAAAAAAGTAACAGGCTGCTGATTACTCCATTATATTCTGTTATATTTTTATTCATGAATTGTCACCTGCCAGCTGATTGTTTTTCTTATAAATTAAGACATTTCCTCCCTAAATTAAAAATCTTCTCATCTTTTTTTTGAGCATCCACTTCTCTTGTCACAAGCGTTTCATCAGGCCGCTAATCTGAGCCCTTATGTCCCCACCCCTTTTCAACACAAAGTGACGCAATTGTGTGAAATTGAATACTCCTACTACCAAAAATGCTGCTGAGCAGGTACTTACAGGAAAAAGTCATGAATATACCAGAACTGACCGTAGAGTGCGCCAACGCAACAATGCAGGTTTTCAAACAAGTCAAAAGTGAAACTGAATACATCAATAAACAATATTGTTAGATATATTGTTTACTTCTCCTTTATCGTTCAATCAGTTTATATTTTAATGATCAAACCATAGACTGTTTATAAAACGGATCAAACACATGATAATATTGTTTATTGATCTATTTAGTTTTATTTTGGCTTGTCTGATAATCTTTTACTAATGCCAGTTTTGAGTCTCTCTATATAAGCTACCTGTCACACCTTCCTGAGCAGCTCATGGCGTGATTTCCATTTCTCATGCTGCACCTGAACGCAGCATGGATATAGTGAAATAATAACCGGCAGGAGCAGTCAAGAGTGGAGTGATCAGCAGAGAGCAGGCACTGCTTCCTGGATGGAAACAAAACGGAGGAGCAGAGCAGGCACACACTCAGGACGCAGGACGTTTAAACATGTTTTTAGTTTTTCTTTAAGCTGCTACGTGTGTGAGAAAAGGCGGTATCGGTGCGGCGGTGGAATCTGGCGACAGCAGAGGTTATTATAACAGCAGAGTGTATCAACACATGTGTCTGCTCCACAGTATAAGCACTGCGGCTGTGGATCTGGACTCAGGGAGCTCCTACACCCAGTGGTCCACAGGCAAGGTAAGGTCCCCCCTCTCTCCTCTGCTCATCTGCCGTTTGTCCGCATCATATAGGCCACCCATTACCCAAAACGTTTATACCTTAGCCTACACCGTGAATGCGTCAGAATTTGAATTTTGACCTGTCCTTTGCAACCTTGATGGGGATGCAGTTGTGTGAAATTTCATGTTGAATGCACTGTAACCCGAGCAGATGAGACATTACACTGTTATTTTGGCATGAAACATATACCATGCTAACCTCAGGGTAGAAACAAAAGCATTGTGCATTACAGCGCACAGGATATAACTTTAAGAATAATATACCTTAAAATCACAAAAATCTAATTCAATCCCCACCCCACTCAGTTTGGTTAAACATTATAGGTTTGCATGTTACCACCCTATCATTTTCTCCATAATGCCTGTGTTTCAACTTTATGCGCTCTTGTTTTAGGCTTTCTCCCAAAAGCACACAGGTTATTGGTCCAGAAATCCAGAGATACAGACAATGGGTGATGGCAGATGTATAAATGATGCCATATATATTTTGCAACACACTTCCTGAGCACACAGTCCCAGCTGCCTCCTTCCCAACACAGTGGCACTCTGTGTGAAAACAGCAGCTTTTCACCGGGCAGATCTGGTTTTCCTTTTCTGCCTCTCTGGTCAACAATGATGCTTTGATCCCTCTTGGCTGGAATGCCATCTAAACCTTGATCCGTGAGGACTGCTAATCACCAAATGGCCTACACCTAAAAGGAACAGTTTGCTCACAAGGGCGTTTTGATTAAAAAGCTCCAACAGTGGAGATTAAAGTTTGAATGTGGACTCTTATTTTCTGTTTTGATTGCTTTTCAGGTGCCTGCAGGCAACATAGTGGTGTATTTCGATTGAAAGTTCTGGTCGTCAGTATTTTGTATTGACTTTTATATATGTGATTTTTTTTTTTCCCCCGGATTAATGCGGAATTTGGGATTTTCCGACCTGCAAATGCCACCCACGTACATGCTCATCCGTAAAAACTACTGTTATTTTCGATGGAGAGGATTTGAGGACACACTTCATGAGGCGTGAATTTAACAGGTGAATAAACTAGAACTAGTGAGTTTCACCAAAAACGTTCAGCGTCGTTACGTACGTACGTGCGTGCGTGCACAGATCAAAGCCTTTTCCCAACTGACGCAAGGTAGATCGCGTGGACTCAATATCTCCGCCTGGTAAATGATTTTAAAAGTTGTAATTTGTGATTTTAAACGTAATTAAATTGTTTTATCTCGTTATATACGATATCCAATTCATTCTGTGTGAATCCTGTCGACATCTGAGAGCTGAGATAATTAGCTAGCATAACAAAACATAACTAATTAAATTAAATAATGAGCAATAAGATATAATTGCGTAGCCACAAACCCCATATTTCACTACTTTTACCAATATAATAATAGAAAATCACAATTCAACTTAATTTAGTGCATTTAAACCATGCACTAAAAATGCTGCGGTGTTACCATAGCAACCTCAGCAGCTAGACAGGGCTGGATGTTACAGCTTCACTGAATGAACTGAGGCTACAATCTTTATTTGCACAGCAAAAAGATTGAAAAGAAATATTTTAACACAGGGAAGCGCATTTGATTGTCATTTAAATATATTAAGGTCGTTTATTTGTCATTATACAACACAAGGAAGTTCCTTCAAGCTACAAACATAGATCATAAGAGATAATTAAATGTATATTAGAATATGGTAACATAAAATAAAACAGTAAATACAGTTATTGATATGCATATATACATACAAATGCACACCCAGGAAATAATTCAGCAGTGCATTTTTTGAATTTGCTTCTGGGGGAATGTAAAAATCAGCAACAAGATAGTGATGATAATATGGTTATCATCCTCACATTAAAATTCTGACATTTAGAAAACAGTGTTCATCCACTTTGACGGCATTTCAGCACCGAGCACCATCGTTGTGAAACACAGAGTCCGCCATCTCTCATCTGGGTGGATTGCTTTGTCGGCCCAAAACACGGTTTGTCTGACAAGAGCTTGATCCAGGATGTCTCTTTAAAGATATGAGCACAATAGTCTCTGACTTTCCGTTGCTTGGCCAACCTGTGTCCCGTTTTGTCAAGCCTGGACCTTAACCTGGAGCACACCTGTATACCCATTTTACCCATTTGCAAACATTCAGGGTGAGAAATTCATCTGAAATAGCTTTCAGTTGACAACCACGATGTACTGATGAATTCTACAGTTCACAGTCAATCAATCAACATCTGTTGTATCAAAGATAGAACAAAACTGATTTGTCTGTTTTTCTAAGAGAAAAGCACATCCACCATCTATTGACAGATGGTTACCCTGATAATCTCAAGGTCTTTAAACTTTAAAGTTGTTCAGGAATAACAGGCTTTACACTGTTATTAAATACAAATTGAATAGTTTCCATGCAGCAAAGCTAGCTGCTTGGAGACCTGTTATTTTCCCATGTGAGATCTTGGGGCTGCTTAAGCTTGGGCAGGACAGGACAGGCTGACAGCATTGTGGGATGATGACTGCAGCCGACTCAGCTGGCCTGTCTGAAAGCAGTGCAGGAAGATACCATGATTGTGCAGAAATAACAACATACGCAGCTACACAAGCTCCACTATCAATATCTGAATGCATGCTGCTTCTGATCAATAGCAATAATAAAAGAGCAGTCAATGAAAAATTTAGGACACTGGTAGTGGTGGTGGCTGTATTGATTGAGCTGCTCCAAAGTTTCCTGCCAACTTTAACAGCCTGCTGAAATAGAGAGCATTGTACATGGGATAATGTGTGATTTCAACAGCCACTCAGGCTGCAGAGTGTGTTTTTAACGCCACCGTTTCCTGCATGACCCTGTTCTGTGTCCAACCACTGTTAGCAAATCCCAGATTATGGGGTTATTATTTCTGGTGCTTTTTGAGATTGGACAGAACCAAAGGGATTCTTTTGGATTTGGTGACTTTGGGTCACTTTAACACCAGATTAGGCCTTTATTACCCACCCACCTCTGTGCTGCTGTTCCAAAATATGTAATTAGTGCATTATGTCTGAGAACCAAATGTGGAGATCACAGTTTACATTTATGCTTGATGCTTTATTAAACATGAAATGGTAGCATGCTAACACACCAAGCTAAAATGGTGAACATCAATCAGTGGAACTATTATTAGGTCAACACTGTAATTTGTCCAGTACTTTGTTTTATACCTGCAAAACTGACATTCCCATCAGCCTCGGTTGTGCTTTGTGTTTAGTGGCAATTGGCAAATGATAGCATGCTAAGATGGCAACTATGGTACAACATTAACATAAGCATATTACTTATTATTATGAGCATGTTACCATGCTGACTTTAGGATTTAGCTCAAAGCACTGCTGTGCCTACAAGTACAGCCTCACAGAGCTGCTAGCAGTTGTTAAATGGGTAATTTTACATTGAAAACATTTGAGCTATTTTTCAGCAGTTCTGTGCCTAAGTAATACATTGTCCAAATGTTGTCATCGTTGTACAAACAGAAATGTTGAAATCAAAAATAACTTGTATAAATCCATCCTATCCTTGTTAGTCTCAAATTCCTAATGTTAAACAGTACATTATAGTCAGACAGTTTTCAAAAGCATTCATTGCATTTGAGTAAATTTCCCTCTTTCGATTCCATGTAGTTTTTCTCAATGCTGAAATAACATTCTACTCAAATAGCTTCCAGGCACCTACTGTAACTACACGAGCCTGCCTTTACCATGTTTCTAAAACGAATGACAATCAATTCTTCCTGTCAGAATTAATGAGGCGCTGGTCAATAACTGTAGGCTCAGTAAATGCAGACCTTGGACTTTGGCCTTAAATATATGACGGCCGTTTATGGAGAAACAACAGACATGATGAGAAATTGATAATATGGCAGTAGTTAGACATAATGACATTTTACTTCCTGCACCACGCAGCTTTAAAGAGTGACTAATTCATCTCCCTGGGAACAGGACACTGGCGGTGTATTGCCTCAGGGAAAGGTGAAGTCATCACTGTGGATATACCAGTTACCAGGAGAGGACAGGTTTCCAGAAACAGGCTGCAGTGTTGTCGAAAGGCCTGGCAGTGATTGTGGGAACTGTAACAAAGAGGAAGAAAAGTGCTACACCTACACTGAAGAGACAAATTAATTAAAACTTTTTCTGCTTTCAGGAACATGGAGGTACTAGCTCCTCTCAGTCCCCAGCAGAAGGGCTAGGACCAGACTGATTCTTCCCTCCCACTTTACCTACCTACCTGCCTGCCTGCCTGCCACGCCCCAACATGGCCAGCAGGAGTCCCAACCTGAGTCGGGAAGCTGGGGATTTGGCACCGGGGACCCCTGAGGCCGGCGATAACCCCCAGCCGGGGCCGGAGATATTCTGCAAGCTGTGCCTCAGCGAGCAGCCATCTGCAGCCACCCGGGCACTGCAGAGCTGCAACTGTGTCTTCTGTACAGCGGTAAGAAAAGATCACCAGTTTATTATTTACAGTACATTATGCTCAGATCCATATGATAGTGTTTTTTTTAACCAGGTCAGGGTTGCTCAAGGACACTACAATAGTACACATTAGCCATAAAGGCAAAATCAAATATGTATTACTGAAACAGTTTAGGGTGCCTCAAAGCTATATTTAGATTCTCTAGAAAATGCAAGTAATTCTCTACTCATGCTTTTAGTCACTTTCTGTAGGCGGTAAAGTTTTTACAAAAGTGATCCAACAGCAAAATTTTCTTTGTGAAATTTAGGCAAAACTCCAGTGTTTAAATTACTTGGAATGGGATTCTTGTCTTTATTGCAGCACCACTTCCTGTTTTAAGATCTTAAAATAGATACAAACCCGATTCCAAAAAGTTGGACACTGTACAAATTGTGAGTAAAAAAGGAATGGAATAATTTACAAATCTCATAAACTTTTATATTTTATTCACAATAGAATATAGATAACATAACAAATGTTGAAAGTGAGACATTTTGAAATGTCATTTTGGATTTCATGACAGCTACACATTCCAAAAAAGTTGGGACAGGTAGCAATAAGAGGCCGGAAACGTTAAAATTACATATAAGGAACAGCTGGAGGACCAATTTGCTACTCATTAGGTTAATTGGCAACATGATTGGGTATAAAAAGTGTCTCTCAGAAGTCAAGATGGGCAGAGGATCACCAGTTCCCCCAATGCTGCGGCGAAAAATAGTGGAGCAATATCAGAAAGGAGTTTCTCAGAGAAAAATTGCAGAGTTTGAATTTATCATCATCTACAGTGCATAATATCATCCAAAGATTCAGAGAATCTGGAACAATCTCTGTGCGTAAGGGTCAAGGCCGGAAAACCATACTGGATGCCCGTGATCTTCGGGCCCTTAGACGGCACTGCATCACATACAGGAATGCTACTGTAATGGAAATCACAACATGGGCTCAGGAATACTTCCAGAAAACATTGTTGGTGAACACAATCCACCGTGCCATTCGCCGTTGCCGGCTAAAACTCTATAGGTCAAAAAAGAAGCCATATCTAAACAGGATCGAGAAGCGCAGGCGTTTTCTCTTTCAATGCTAATTTAAAATGGACTGTGGCAAAGTGGGAAACTGTTCTGTGGTCAGACGAATCAAAATTTGTTGTTTGTTTGTTTTGGAAAACTGGGACGCCATGACGTCCGGACTAAAGAGGACAAGGACAACCCAAGTTGTTATCAGCGCTCAGTTCAGAAGCCTGCATCTCTGATGCTATGGGGTTGCATGTGTGCGTGTGGCATGGGCAGCTTATACATCTGGAAAGGCACCGTCAATGCTGAAAGGTATATCCAAGTTCTAGAACAGCATATGCTCCCATCCAGACGTCGTCTCTTTCAGGGAAGACCTTGCATTTTCCAACATGACAATGCCAGACCACATACTGCATCAATTACAACATCATGGCTGAGTAGAAGAAGGTTTCGGGTACTGACGTGGCCAGCCTGCAGTACAGATCTTTCACCCATAGACAACATTTGGTGAATCATAAAGAGGAAGATGCGACAAAGAAGACCTAAGACAGTTGGGCAACTAGAAGCCTGTATTAGACAAGAATGGGACAACATTCCTATTCCTAAACTTGAGCAACTTGTCTCCTCAGTGCCCCCACGTTTGCAGACTGATGCCATGAAACTTGAAGTCAACTTATTTTTACCTTAAAATGATAAATTTTCATTGTCAGCTATGTTGAATTCTGATTAAAATTAATTAAATTATTGAAATTTGAAACTTCCACATCATTGCATTCTGTTGTTATTCACAATTTGTACAGTGTCCCAACTTTTTTGGAATCGGGTTTGTACTTTCATGGGCAAATTACATATTACAGCTTTAGTGAAATGAATTGGTTTCTACAAAGATATGGGTTTCTCCTCACATTTACTTTCTTTGTCTTGTGCTCACTCAAACTCACAAACATTTTCCTGGGAGCTTTTTCAGTCCTTTTAAGAGAGAAGAAGCACTATCACTAGAATCTAGGGCTGTATTATTTAAAACAGAAGCACAGAGGTCTGCTACTACACTGTTCTTCTCTGATATGTGCCTGTCTGACACATCGAAACTTGGATGTTGGTGTTGTGCCGTGACACAGACGGGTTGCTAAATAGTGGCAGCTGTTATTCTCTGTCCTAGCTAGCTGAGTTGTCAGTGTTGCACGCACAAGGTCACACAGATAAAAACACACATACACATACACAGACAGAGTCACAGGGGAGGAAGGAGGGAAATGGATACAGTAAACTGTGCTTATCGGTTGGACAGCATTTTATAAACCTGAAATGTCTCTTCCAGTCTGGTTCAAGAGCACAGACTGTTGCTTATGTTTTTATTTCCAGCTCAGTTTTTGGATGAGAAGTACACGGAGCTTTATGAGAAAGCGTATAAATGAGTCAAAAAATACATGCCAGATTTTTACAACAGATTTGATGTCATCTTCCACTGAAAAGTAAATGTTTTTAATTTCTCTTCCTCAAAATTATTTGCCATTACACAATGCTTCCTACGTTTCCAGGCTGAGGCATCACATGACATTTGACGCGTGAATGCCAATAATGAGCTTATGTTTGTGTGGCATTTAGTTTGTCTTATTTGCACAACAGCTCATTCTTCCTCTACTTACTTTGCTTTTACTACATTTATCACGAGTGATGTTTTCATGTGTAGTGCTTTTTTTTATTATTTTTCATCAGGGTAGTAACAGTGACAGTAAATGTACCATGTATGCTTATGATGAATCGTATGAATATGTTGCTTTTTACAAGGGCATGACATTTGCGATGCATAGTGGCACAGTTCTCCCAGTCCCATTCCATATCTAATGCTAATGGTTGTTTCTCCTTCTCCAGTGTCTGCAGCAGTATGTTCAGCTCGCCATCATTGAGGAAGGAGGGGCACCCATCACCTGCCCAGATATGGCCTGCCAAAAGACCGGGGTGCTACTGGACTCTGAGGTATGCCCTGTTTAAAACCAATGATATGTGGGTCATGAGTGAAACTGAAAAAGGCAAAGAGTCTACAGAGGCAATAAAATACAAGCATTACTGAACTAAAAACCTGTTTTGGGCTGCACCAGTTTGTTTACAGTCAAGAGTGCTGCAAGCCACCTTCTAAAGAAATCTGAAGTTGGATTTTCACACTTGTGTTTTTAAAGTTGTGTGGGCTGGTATGTTGAAGTGTTGTGAAAATGCTGTGTATCCAGCCTTAATGACAGGTCTGAGGAAAGTTTTGTTGCTTTCGATTGTGGAGAGCTAACGTAAGCAGTCAGACAGAAAGTGAAAGCTGAGCTGTCACATCATAGATGATGCTTAAAGAGGTGGTATGATGCTCATTTTCAGGTTCAAAATCTTAATTAGGGGTTGTGCCAGAACAGGTTTACCTGGTTTAATTTTCAAAAACACCATATTTTTCTCATACTGCACATTGCTACAGCTCCTCTTTTCACCCTGTGTGTTACGCTCCGCTCTTGAGCTACAGAGTGATGCATCTTACTTGTACAAAATCTTTGTTGGGAGTTGCACATACGCAGTTCCCAGGTAAGGACTACTAGCCAATCAGAAGCAGAGAAGGGCAGGTCGTAAGAAACAAGGTAGTGTGATCCAAATCAAAGCCGCTTCAGACTGCAACTGTAACCTAGCAGATGGTGTAAGTTACTCACAAGTCCACAACCACGCAACATCATTGTTCCACATCTTACCATCAGGACTAAACGTTGAACTGTTGCCAGTGTTCTGACAATCTATGCTGCCTTGCCGAAAAATGCTACCATAGCGCAAATCGATAGACTCGACTCTACTCGGCCCTGCTCTGTTTTCCATTGCAGACAGTACCCAGAGATAGTACGTACGTAGCTTGTCATCATAGCGACGCCACACACCGCTGCCACAACATAATGTTCAATGCGACACACACACCAGCTCTTAAAATATATCTTCGGTTAAAACGTTTCAACATTCCTCAGAATGTAAAGACAGATAAGCGGTATGAAAACCTTCCAGCTGTGTTTTCCTCTGCAGCGGCCTGTGTGACGGCGGGAGCAGAGGGCTCTGTGAGCGGGCGGCTGGCCGGCTTCACATGCTCCTCCCGCGGGTTGGCGCAGGCTTCCCCCGCAGCCACTTGCAGAGCTCCTCAACTCCGACAATATTCAAGCATTTTTGTTCCGCCATCACTTCTCGTAAAACTGTCAATATTCGAAATCTAAACAGCTGATTTCTCACCTCAAAACTTCGCAGAAGTGGATTTAGTGATGAAATTACATACAAAAACTGTAAAACTTTCTGGTGCTGGCCTCTGGTGCACGCAATGATGATGCAGTGAATAGTGAATATTCTCTCTGATCAGTCAGCAGTCTGTCGTGTTTTCATGTTATATTTTAGTTTCCCTCAGCTCGCTTGAAACCTCAACGGACGTGAGGTGATACGAAAAAAAGTACCTGGAGCAGGTACAGGTACAACATTTCTACAATGGAAACCCAAACAAAGGCTGAGTCGAGCCAAAAGGCCTCCGCTCAGACTAGCTTGGTTTGAGGGCGTGCCTGACCCCGCTAGCCGCTTGGCAAGCTTTATGATGCGTTTTCACTGTGACGTCACAAGTAAAGGAAGTGAAGGGCTGGACTACAAACGAGCTGTTTTCAAGCGGTTCAGTGCAGAGCTTTCTGTGGGAGATGGGAACTCCCTTTGGGCTGGACTTTGGGCTTTTTCACTTTGCAAACCTGTTACATGCACAAAAAAGAGATATAACTCAATAAAGGAGAGGGAAAAAGACAAAAAGCACAATACCACCTCTTTAAACTGCTGCTTCATGAACAAATCTTTTGCTCAGTTCCTCTTTTGTAATGTCTGACACCTATTGCAAGAAATGCCTCTTTAACTGGGGCTCATTGGCCTTCCATCTGAATAATAATTGATTTGACTTGTATCCTGTTGTGACATAAGGCAGAAATATAGACATATAGTTAGATATGTTCATATTAATATAATGCACAGCAGCAGTCTTAATACTTTTTTTTTAGTCTTGAAAGATTGGAGTAAGAAATGAAGAATTTTTTCGAGCATTTCCTGCTGCAAGCTAATGTTTGTTTGAGCACCTTTTCAACATCTATGCACGCAGATGACAGCTTCTACTACAACTATAAAAAGTTGTTGTTGTTTTCATTTAGGAAATGAAAATGAGGTGTCTTAGACATAATGCATAATGCAATTTCAGTTGCTCCAGTTGATCCTGGATGATCTTTGAAGTATCAGCTTCTCAGCAACCACACATAATTGCCTTATTTTAATCTTGACCATGTATTTTTGCATTTTATCTCTTAGGGTTTGAAAATGTTTTTCTTTCACCCAAAAAGATTTTTCAAACAAAATTCAGTGTCAAATCTCTGAGTGACTAAAACATGACTGAAGCATCTCTATGTGCTGTGTGAATGCAGATAGCTAGCTTGGCCCCAGAAGAGCAGATGGAGCTGTATCAGCGTCTGAAGTTTGAGAGAGGTAGGTATTGTTGCATTAGCATTGCTGATGACTGGTGACAGGCATTGGGCTATTTCAGGTCACACTTCAGCTGGTGGCATTACCCTAAGCAGCCTCACAGAGTGAGCTTCACATGCCTGGGATATTGTGGGGCCTGCTGCCATTTTTCTATTCTGCTCTGGTACAGTCTTACCCTGGAGGTCACTAAAATTATGCATTAATACCTTAAGTTAAACCAAACATAACCGGTAGGATATTCAGTAACACATGCTGCAAGAGGTCCATATTACTATTATGTTAAATTTGAAGTTATGAACTTTTCAGTCCTAATAAATTGTATGGTCTATGTTCAACTGATTGTTCCAGAAATGTTTGCAAGCTCAAATTGTATTTCTGTCTTGCACTGGAGGGAGGAGAAAGAGAGTAACAGTTGAAATAGGTTTCTGTTGACCTTTACAAATTGCAAAGTGAGTTTAGTTTGCCTTGTAGCTATACTGGTCTTTTCCAGTTGCACAATAACAATAGGCTGTGATGCCAGTAATAGTTATTGTTTACTCAGGCCATAAATCATAAGACTCTAATAATATTGGGAGTGCAAAGTACAGGCTGTTTTGCAACAGTGTTTGCCTCCTGTTATGATTCATAATGAAAGTATGAGCTGGTGAAGGGAATCTGAGTCAGATCATGAAAGCTGCAGTTTTTGTGTTAGTTGTGTTAAACTTGTCATATTTATTTTTTGTAAGCATTTTACATTTCAATTTCTATCCTCCTGTACTTATAAATTACTTTGAAGGTTTTTTGCCTTCACAGATAGCCAATATGAAATGAGAACAATGCATTTGTTAGATGTTTTTAGTCATTCTCACCAGGGATCAGTCAGTCTGTTGGTCAGTCGATCCACCACTTTGGTCCAGACTGATTTTTTTGGATGGATTGCCATGAAATTCGGTACATTCATGTCCCCATCAGGATGAATTCTAATAACTCTGATGATCCTCTGACTTCTCATCTAGCGCCATCATCAGCTCAAACTTTAAATGTGATAGTCCCATGAGCCTCATCTGTACTTTGTGTTTACTGCTAATTTGCTAACCAGTACAGCCTCACAGAGCCACTAGCATGTAGACTCTCTGTCATATTGTTGTAGAGAAGATATTTTACTATCATAAAACATAAAAAAAAACACCAAATAATCACATATGAGAAGCTGGAACCAGTGAATGTTTAGCTTTTTAGTTTAAGAAACAATTTGATTATCACACTTTTCTGTTGATGGAGGACTTGAGTAATTGCTTCAGCACTAATTCTGTTAAGTATGTTTTTGTAAGCTTGCTGTAGGTCAGATCATTAACATTGCTGATTGTAATGATACTACTGCTGCAGACAGTATTGCTAGTATTACTTGGGTTTAAAGAATAGGAAAAAATGCATTTATTTTGTATAACATCTCAGCCACTTGGTGTCTATTTCAGAAATCACATCTCCCCTTTGCTTTCTACAGGAGTGAAGCTGGACCCCAGTAAAGCCTGGTGCCCGGTGCTTGAGTGCCAGGCGGTGTGCAACGTGCAGCCGAGCAGCGAAGGCCAGCCCACTGCTGTGCCCTGCCCGACCTGTCACGCCGTCTTCTGCTCCGGGTGCAGAGGGCCCTGGCAGGACAGCCATACCTGCCCCGAGCGCCAGCCCATGATGTCACCCTCACCCTCTCATGAAAGCAGGTCAGTCAGCCGCCCACTGCCTGCAGCCACAGAGTCTGGGCTGCACTTTGAAAATGATACTGTACTGAGTGAGTTAGTTCAGGACACTGCGGTGTATACACAGAAACACTTGTTACTGTTGTAAACAAACGAGTAACTGAACCAGGATTCCATTAAAGGGTTTTATTATTTAATTTAGACTATATAGTGGAGACATATTTGCTATTTTTTAATATAGTGTGTGTATTACCTTAACTGTTTTCTACCCTATGAATTCCATCATTTTATTTAAAGGGGGAAATCCCATCCATCCCATTCCATTTAATTTAAAATACCTGACAGTTATTGTGGCAGGATATTTACGCTGAACGGATTATACAAGTGATGTGTAGCTCCTCATCTCCCAGTGGAGACCCTGCTCTGAATATGCACATTATTTCAGGATTAATAGGTCAGTATTCCTCAGCAGTGCCCTCTGTGTCGTCCCTGTTGCACAGCTACATAACTGTGCTGCTCCGATCTGTGGCTCTGCCAGACTGACTGATGTCATTGGGGACTCACTGACTTATAATGGAATTCCATTGTTTCTGTGCCAAAGGGAGGAGGAGGGTGGGCAGCGAGCCAGTTAGTTCACCGTACAGGAGCAGCCAGCGCACTGCAGTGGTCTCTGCAGTGTGCTGTGGAGCAGGCATGAGGAGAATGAAGGGAACTCAACTTTAAATTTGAACTTGAGAGCATGGTATACATTTGCCTCAGCCTGCAGGTTTAGTCATCAAACACAATCTTGCTGTACCAGGGCCGTGTTTTAGAAAAACCGCTGTTAGTAGTCTGTCCCTCAGTGAAAACCCCAACGTTTTGTGACTAGCCATCAAATAGTTTGGGTTGCTGATTTTTCTTAATCCATCAGCACTGACATATGTGTTTTTCCAGTCGCCTGCTAGGATTTTTCACGTTTATCAAAGATGTATGCTGTTTAAAAAATGGTTATTTCCCATCACACACATTAGCATTTTTGTGGCATTTTTTATGTCACTGGCCCGGCAAAATTACTACAGCATTTTTAATCCCGCCTACAAACCACTGACTGACTTGATTGTTTTTCCAACAAGGGGAACCAGCTGTCAGTGACCACAACACCAGAGCTCTTTGAATCACTGAACAAATAAAAATAGAGTCGCTTGTAATGCACGAATCACAGTGAATTATGACCCAACTCTGCAGTCCCCCTCAGCTCTAAGGGGCATTTATAGTAGCTTTCTTTGTTTTGGTTTTGTGGCCCGTAGCCTGACTGTTTTGGGTCAGTCTCGCCACTCTCATTATATTTTCCAGCCTTAACAGGCAGCTGTTTTCACCAAGAAAGTTATAAACCCACTGCACACTTCCTGCCAAATGTCAAATTGAACAACTATCAGTGGTAGCAAAAGAGCTAGATGTTGCCCTCAAGAGCTAGAGACAAAATCAGAGCTATTGTAAAAGGAGAGTGAATATTAAATTCAATTCAGTTTTCTTTATATACTGCCAGTTCATAACAGAAGTTCATGTACTTTTCATAGAGCAGGTCTAGACCGTACTCTATGTATACTGGACTTGCATTGGAAAATTAATTTAGCAAAATGCCAAAGTGTATATAGGCAATTGTTTGCTAACCAGTTTGCCATAACAACTTTATAAGATGTTAATATTTCAAAATTGTGTTTACAGCTTGTTGCCCTGCCCCAAGATGGCAAAACAAAAATAATTCATAGAATTTGTTTAAATTGTAGAATATAAACTCATCAGGTTGTCGAAACCCTAAAACATGACTTCTGGTTTTTCAGTGGTAGCTATGGCCCTTGATTGTACTTACAGAATACTTCCCTCATACCTTTGAATCCTAAAATAATTAAACCAGTTCAAAGTGAGCACTGACATTTAACTCTACTGCTAAATAAAGATTTCACACTCTCGCCTGGTGACTCTTGAAGCCTTCGCGGCTTCGTACAATGTGCCCCCGTTAACCGCATACCTGTTGTCTCCTGTCTCCTGTGTCTTTCTCCTGATACACAGGCCCCCCTCTGACAGCAACTCTGACATGCCCATCAAGCAGTGTCCTATGTGTGGCATCTACATCGAGCGGAACCAGGGCTGTGCACAGATGCTGTGTAAGAGCTGCAAACACACCTTCTGCTGGTACTGTCTGCAGAATCTGGATGTAAGTCTCCCCTGCTGCCTGACTCACAGATCTGATGCATGGCTTTGAACACTAGCTGAAAAATAACTATACAGCCTGGCCGCCTGTTTAGACTCTTATCTACACTCATACGTTTTCTTTACACAACATCTCAGCCTCTGCTTCTCTGTCTTTCTTTGTAGTTTGTGTTTGAATGTACTTTGAGATTGCTGGATAGTAGATTTCTTGTCTTAACATGCATTTTGTAATTGCAGGGCGATATCTTCCTGAGGCATTATGATAAGGGGCCGTGCAGAAACAAGCTGGGACACTCAAGGGCCTCAGTTATGTGGAACAGAACGCAGGTGAGGTCACCCAGCACGGAGCAGAGCAGACAACAAAATTCATTTCAGGGTTGTGAGGCTGTCATTGTCTGTATGGATTAACCGGCAGAACCGCTCATCTGTGAGTGGGAGGTTGTTCCATGCACGGGTTTGATTTCAGTAAAACTGTGGGGCATTAAAGATTTTGGACTCCATCCCAGCGGCATTGTTTGGCTGTCAGATCAAGTAGTCCCTGTTGAAATGCTCATGCTTGTCAGTAAACCTTGGAATGGAAAACAACTCATGACAGACTTGGTTACACCCTTGCTTAACAGGTACTATAAGTTTTACATCTGATTGTCACAAATTCCTGTGCCACTGTAACTCCTTCTTAGCTGCCTCCAAACACTGCTGTAGTGGCAGTACATTTAAAGTGTACTGTACACTGCATTTGTGTTGTACATTTTCAAAATTTGGATTTGAAATGATGTGATATCTGACTATCCTGACTACTGGTATACAGTGCATTGTAAAAAGTACTGTAAGCGGACACCCGAACCGTGGCGAACCAAGTAAAATGAATAGTAAAATCATGTAATGAGATCGTGGTGTAGTTTCACTGACGTAAGTGCACAGTTGAGGTTTGGGACAGTTGCAAATGTTGTGCTGTTAGCGAGGAGCAGGTATGTGACCAGGTCAGATGCACTACATGTCACCAAAAATACTGCGGAAAAAGGTGACAGATTTTGTATGCAGTACCTGCAATGTGTGTTAATAATAAATGTATACGTTTATGCTGTGTCCATAACATCAGTTAACATGACATTTGTTCAGGCGCTCGGGTGGGATGAGCTCATGGCGTCATGTCATCGGCTCTCTGGATAGAGCCGTAAATAGTAAAAAATTTATGGCGTAAAATCTCGCGCAAGCATAGCAGAAGTATAACCTGTGGTGGAAAATGCTCTTTAAACCTTATTTTGGGGCAAACTCATTCAACTTTTTCAGCATTTTTTTTCTCTCAGACTTCACTGGTCTACTCACTCATTTAGATAGGGGCCTGGGGCCGTATTACAGAAAGTTCCTATCTTAAGTCTCGCGAGCTAAACGGCTTTTAATCTGTGTTCTTTGGTCGTTTTTAATGAAACATACACTGAAAAGTGAGCAGAAACAAAAACTTTCATTGAAGTCAGATGACTTAGAGGTGTTGGTAACCTTCGTTGAGAAATCCAAATTCACTTAATACTTAACTCGGGAGATTAAAGATAGAGAGTGGGCTAAAATAGCGGGCACAGTCATTGCCGCATATCTGGCATCCAGTGGAGCGTTGATGCTGTTGAAAATACGTCCATTTAAGTGATGTGAGGAGAAAGGCAAGTGTTGTTTCCAAAGAGCAGAGGAAATCCAGTGGTGGCTCCTCCTGTGCTCCCTCACTGACACCGGCAGAAACCAGTCTTCTCGGGAAAGTTAATAATGAAGGTTAAAAAGAATAATAATAAAGGCTGCGGGCTAACGTCTTGTGCTAACGTGTTTTTCATGTATTTCTTGAATTTAACGATCTCCTTCTATCAAAGACTTGCATTAGGATACTTTTGTTACATCAAGTCTTATATAATGAGACATTAACTAGCGTTACATCGCCTACAGCCTTTCTACTAATGAGTGTTTTGTCATCAAACACATGGTAGAATCAATGAATAAGTTCCAGTTGACATTTTGTTGTTTTTTTAAAAGCAATAAAAAAAGCACCTATGAGGAGTTATTAAACACTACCTGGTGGAAAAGTAAAAGTTAGGATAGCTAAACAGTTATCCCAAGTTAGGAGAGTTTATTTAAGATTTTATGAAGTTGGGATGCTTTTGTAATACACTTGTTTGTAAAGACTTTGTAGTTAGTTGGTCAGTCAGACAACTTTACTGAAAACAAACTGACATTATATTTGTGAGACTGAACATAAATGAGCTGAAAGGTTCTAAAAATACTCCATACAGCTGAGTGAAACTGTAGAGTTAGGTGGTTCATCACCAACGCAACTCCTTTCACATTAGACATAATCACTTGGTCCATTGTTAATATAAGATATTGATTAGTGCAGCTTTAAAAGATGCTGTTGTGTTGCCCTTCAGGTGGTGGGGATCCTGGTGGGGATCAGCCTCGTCGTGCTGGTGACATCTCCTCTCCTCCTGCTGGCCTCGCCCTGCATCCTGTGCTGCGTTTGCAAGCCCTGCAGCGGAAGGAAAAAGAGGAAGAAGACGAGGAAGAAGGACCTCAGCCAACCAGACTCCTCCATGTCATAGCAGCTCCCCCTCTCAATCGGCACAGCCCAGAAATACTCCACTAACCTCATGAAACCTGAAAGGAAACTAAGAAAGTGCAAGTGCTGCACGGTGGAAGGGAATAAATTTGTGGAACAATGGAGTACTTTGTTATGACTCAACAGACTGGAAGCCTTGTCAGTGATTCAGTATAGTGTTAAGGGTCAACAAGTGAAGACTGTCATCTTAAAGCTCCGGCAGGTAGCTTTAAGAGCTAAAGAGTATGTACTTTATGTGTCTGAAGTGTAAATATGAGGAGAATGAATGTAACTCGCTCACCTAGTTGTTTTCAGATGCACAACAGGTAGTAAAGAGAAGGCAGCGGCTGTGAGACTTTTCCTTGTACAGGGCTTTTGTTATTGCCCACCTATCGCTCGCGCAAACACACACACGCGTGCGCGCGCGCACACACACACACACACACGTGTGTGCGCAGTTCAAAGTGCAATGCCACCCTCATGTGCCAAATGTCATGATGCCAAACCAGAGGTCTTAGGTACTCAAGTGCCTCACTCTACAGTGCCTGGCACTTGGTTGTATTTGTTTTGCCTCCCATTCTATCTTTATCTTATGCAAAGTATAGCAATGAAAATGGACAGCCGTCAGGGTTAAACCCCTGACACATGCAAAACATTCTTTCATAATGGGGGAAATCAAACAGCATCATGTGTGCAATGTATATTCTGTACTTGGGCTTCAGTGGTGCACAGAGAACTTTTCTTCTGCAAATGTTGTTTCCAACTGGCGTATGTCCCAGACCAAAGGCTCTAGAGGATAATGTGTACTTTTCTAAAGTGTGTTAATGTGTATTTATGGGTTATGTGTGTATGGTATCCTTTTGATGTCTCTGCATCAGATATTTTTTAAAAGCAGCATTGTAACTGAAATAAATATGCATCAGATGGTATTGTGTTTGCTAGTGATATTTATCATTTATACATCATGGCTCATTATTTCACTTTTGTCTTTGAAACATGGTCACAAGAAAAGAGTACATGGAAGTTGACATAGCAGGAGCGACAATATTGTTGTTCTCACTGTGTATTATGGAGATGTGCTGCTGTGTGGATGAAGATGGATTTTTAGAGAATGGTTTAAGGAAGTGAAATATATCTGCTAGTGATACAGTGTGAGAGCCATGAACTGACTCAGCATGTGGGCAGCATGTCACACTTTTACTTAGTCCTTCCTTCTTTAGGCAAAGCAAGTTTATTTGTACAGCAGCAACTGGATATTTTAAAATGCTGTACATAAGACATGGAAGACATTTCAAGAAGATTTCAAAAGAAACAAGGTGATAAAGAGGAAGATTGAGGAAACATGACTAGAGGAGGCTACACAATACATAATTTTAGGTATGTACAGTATTACAACTAGATTTAGGAACCTCCATCCATCATCTATCTTATCCTTTGCAGGGTCATGGGGGGCCTGGACAGGATCCCAGCTGACATTGGGTGAGAGGCGGGCTACACCCTGGACAGTTCATCACAGGGCTGACACAGAGGCACGGTGCCATCCACACTCACATTCACCTACAGGCAATTTAGAGTCCCCAGTTAACCTGCTGTTATAGATGTTTATTGTGGAAAGAAAACCGGACCACCTGGAGGAAACACACATCTAAACCTGTTGGATAAATATTCAAATACCAAAAAAACAAAATAATTTCGCTTTACTTTGTGTTTATTTTGTGAGGACTTTGTATGTATGTACATATGTGATAGGAGACATGATGCAAATGCTGTTTGTATTTTAATTGTATTGTTTTTGTAAAGCACTTTGATTGAAAGCACTCTATAAATAAATGTATTATTATTATTATTATTATTATTATTATTATTATTATTATACATTGACAAGCCATACAATATAGTATTTGCCATGTGATCATATAAACTTCAATTTCACAATCAATTTTGAAGTAAAACTGCTTCAGCTGACCTGACAGAGTGGGGTTTTAAAGGGATTTAGTGACACCGTGTGCGCAAACAGGGAACTGCACTCTTTGTTCTGGAGGAAGGACGTGGACAAACCAAACTTGCAGGCTGCTTGCAGGAACAGGAGAAGTTCAGATCAAGGAATGGCAGCGCAGGCAGAATTCTTCGCGGGTAAATCACATTATTTCAGTGCTCAGAAAGTGCTGTTGACGATGTCTGCTGTGTGTTTGTGTGTGCTCAAGTGTCCGCAGTGCAGCGGGCCGTAAACAGCGGAGGCCTGCTGGAATTCTGCAAAAGTGCAATTCACATGATTGAGACTTGTTTGCCAAAACACGTCTGTTTGTGTAGTTAGTAGATGACACGGAACTATCCCTCTCTCTTTCGACACTAACTGTCTGTATGGTAGGACAATGCAGTATCTTATACAATGACGTTTTGAACACTTTGAAACAGTTGCCCATTCATGAATAATGATTTTGCAGTGTGATATTGTCGTTACATTAATGCTTCAGGAGCACTACATTGTTTCATTGAATATTGCATTATGCTTCACAGGCATTCCCAAGATCTCCTATCTACCCAATGCTGGGGCAAGAGATGTCATGTGCTTCAAACACTACAATGCAGAAGAGGTAGGTGTGGCACATAAGTTAGTATGGTGTGCACTAGGACACACACTGTATACCTGGTTAAAGTGAGCTGTGATTGAATACACAGTTTGTGTTGTGAGAGGCTGGAGCTCAGTGTTCCTGTGTGCAGGTGCTGATGGGGAGGAGGATGGAGGACTGGCTGAGGTTCTCAGTCTGCTATTGGCACTCCTTCTGTGGAACTGGTACTGTAGCAACTGATCCAACACTCCCACTCTGTCAGTAATCATTGTGTGGAGGCTTGGTAATGAATAATATGAGGTTTTACCCAGTGAATACACAGTATGGGTGTTAGGTTGTACATCCCTTTAGAATCGTATTTTAGTAGAATCATTTGTTTAATCTGAAATCAGCAGACATTGTGCCTTATTTGTATTGTTTTGTTTATTAGGTGCTGATCCTTTTGGGTTTCCGACGCTTCACCGGCCCTGGAACGAAGGGACTCCTATGGAATCAGCCAAGAAGCGACTGCATGCTGCTTTTGAGTTTTTCACCAAGCTTGGTGTGAGGGAAATCACCTCCACTTTACAATGAAAGTCACTGTTACAGGGAGTGGATTAGAATGAATATGTGTAATACTGTGTGTTTCCTTTTGTGAACTTGTTCTCACAGGTGAAATATTACACATTTCATGACAGGTAATTGACTACTATATTTTATTTTTTGATAGGATCCGATTATATTATTTAATAAATACACTTAATAGTATTTATAAGTAATAAAATCTAACAAGGACAAGTATTTGATGTTTCTTGGGTCTTCCAGTGTTGTGACAATGTCTGTTCTGTAGGGATATGGCTCCTGAGGGCTCCACCCTGGAAGAGTCCAACAGGAATCTGGATGAAATAACAGACGTGGCTCTCCAGCTGCAGAGCCAGACTGGAATCAAGGTGCTGTGGGTCACCTGCAACCTCTTCGCCCACCAAAGGTCAGTATCTTATTTAGAAAACCTGACGGTCGACTCCTGCGGTTCGAGGGAAAGACCTCTTGCTCATTTAGGCTGTAAACAATACAGAATCATTTTGGTTGGATTGTGTTCTTGATTTAAGTAAAACATCATGGTATACACATTTTAATCATGTGACAGGTACATGAATGGTGCAGCCACAAACCCTGACTGTCATGTTCTGGCCTTCGCTGGTGCTCAGGTTAAGAAGGGGCTGGAAATTGCCAAGAAGCTGGGTGCAGAAAATTTTGGTATGCATGTCTTGATAGTGTCACTGTGTCTAAAATAATCATATGCTCCTTCAGTGTTGCTACCTCATTGTATCATATTTGTCTCCTCAGTGTTTTGGGGAGGAAGGGAAGGTTTCCTTTCCATCCATAATACTGATGTTGCTGCGGAACTGAAGCACATGGCCAACTTCTTCAAAATGGCTGTCAGTAAGTGTGCACATGACAATGGGATTCATTCCAAAGTTCTGGTCTGCTTGTGTCACACTTTCAGTTTTGCGTCTCCTCATTTGTCACCAGAGTACAAAGAGAAGATTGGGCTGAAGTGTCAGTTTCTTATCGAACCCAAGCCTAAGGAGCCCTGCAGACACCAGTATGACTATGGTAAGGCTTCCCGTATTTCAACAAAACAAATGCGCTTTTTAAGTCTTACTGAGGCATTTTATATGTCAATGTTTCCTTCTATAGACGCTATGAGTGTTATAGGATTCCTTAAGCATTATGGTCTGGAGAGTCACTTTAAGTTGAACATCGAGCCCAACCACACCACCCTGGCAGGACACTCATACGAACATGATATTGTCATGGCCTCTACGTGAGACATCTTACCTGTTACCAGAAATTTAACCTAATACCTTTTATCTGTAATATATCGAAGTGAACAATGTTGCAAAATGTTTCTGCGTCACAACTTTGGCACAACTTAACACCATGGCCGTTTTTATGTTCTGTATCATCCTTGCTTGGTGGTGGACAGGTTTGGCATGCTGGGTTCAGTTGACTCCAACACTGGCTCTTCTGACCTGGGCTGGGACACAGACCAATTCCCCATGGACATCAGGGACACCACCTTGGTCATGAAGGTGAGCTTATTTCTTTAGTTTATTGTATGTGAAGGTGCCATTGTCTAAACACTGTTGGATATGGGCTTTAGCTAACAATGCTAATATACTTAGCAAGGGTTGCTAAGACTAATCCTTTGTTTAAAGCAGTATTATTATAAACATATGAAGTTGATATGGCGAATGTGTGAGCAAACAGTTGTCTATTTACGCGTCAAACAGACAAAGAACATTGGCATCAATTTGGGGCCATGTATCTGTCCATCTAATGAATATATGTCCAGTATTTATTTACACCTTGAAACCAAATATGACTCTTTGCTAGATAAATGCTGCTATGTTCACCAGCTAGTCGCTAACCTTGTCTTTCTGCTGTTTTCTCCTTGACAGGTAGTGTATACAGTACTGTGGGTTCATGTATATCAGAGCTTTTTCTTTTTTACTGAAAACATATACCTTTGGCGGTTAATGAGGAGGTGTCTGGCTGGAAAACCCCAAAAAATAAAACCCCAAATGGCCAAAGAGGCTTTTATGCTCTGTCGAGCTGAGGGGAACTGCAGAATCTGTGGTCATTCTTGTTGTGTTTATCACTAAGAGCGAGTCCTTTCATGTTAAACATAGTCATTTGATCCATTGGTAAAATAAGTATATTTATAGTGCAGCTTTAATGTTGATATAAATGTATACTCAACACCCTGACTTCTAAATTATCACACAGACTACCATCTTTTGTAAAACAAACATCTTTTGTTAGAAGAGGTATTTTGAAACTCAATCTTGTAGTAGTACTGCATCAACTGTACAAGGTGGGTTAAGTTGAGTTCAGTAATCGAGGAATCTAGATAATATTTACTGTCTTATTGTCTGCAGACCGTTATTGAACAAGGTGGCCTGCAGCCAGGAGGCCTGAACTTTGATGCTAAGGTGCGCAGAGAGTCTACAGACCTGGAGGACCTGTTCATCGCTCACATCGGAGCCATGGACACCTTTGCGAGAGGACTCAGAAATGCTGTTCGCATTATTGAGGACGGACTCATCACTGGTATGGTGAAGGTGTGTATGCAGCTAACTGAATTCACTGTTATATAGACTTTCAGGCAGAGTTTTATTAGGAAACATGCTAATAAAGCTGGTGAAAATAGCGGCATTACGTTCGGTCTCTGACTGGTTATGTGTGATTTTTTTTTTAAATAGGAGCGATACTCAAGCTTCAGTCATGGCATTGGACAGAAAGTGGAGGATGGTTCTGCCACCTTAGAGGAAATGGAGGTAAGACTATTGGAGACATGTTTATTTAACTACAGACACTTTTGCACAACCATCTCCATTGTCTTATAGCTTAACACTTTTGTTTGCTTCACTTTGTATCTCGTCCTTTTGAATTGAATGTAGAAATCCATCATTTCTTTTAACCAAATATATTTTAGAAATATGAGAAAGGATTGTTGCTTCTATATCAAATTTTCCAGGTATTTGGAAAACATACCAGTCAAAGCGATGGGCTTATTTTGTTTTGTTTCACAATACAACCTGCTTAAAACTAGAACGGACAGTATTTCTGAACACTGGTTTTTGTGGCCACTCAGTGGGGTATTTACATCTGAGATTTCTCTGTGTATGTCTGCTCAAGAGGTTATCAGTGTGTTTATTGCCAGTGGAATAAACTTGAGTAAAAACTTGAGTCCACTGTAGGTGTTGTTGTGTTGTTTTCACAGGCCTTCATCAAGCAGAACGGTGAGCCGAAAGTAACTTCAGGGAAGCAAGAAAAATATGAATCCATCTTTAATCACTACATATAATAAAAGCATTACTGTCTGCATATGATAAACTTTGACCTTCCCACTGGGATCAGGAATTGCATTTGAATGCAGATGTTTCACTAACTAAAAAACTACCAATACAGATGCTGAGCACTGTAGAGAGTAGATATTAGGGTATCCTGACAGACTAACTGACAGACTTATTCAATATAACATTTAAGAAATATGTGTATCTGTATATATTTGTAGTGCTTTTGACATGTCAACTGGCATTTGATATAATGTACAGTGAGAGGCTATATTCACTTTAGCTGATGACTAATGTTCACTGTGTAATGAAACCCATTTTCACAATGAAGTTGATGAATTATTGATTATTATAACTTAGTGTTTGTATTATCTACTGCATTAATTTCAACTTTGTATTACCATTCAAATGTAAGATGTCCTTGAGTGTCTTGAAAGGTTTCCACCAAATAAAATGTATTAATGCTATATTATTTTACAATTCATACAATCCACTTTACACATATAAATCCTGTTGAATAGTTATAAAAACAAATATAGTTTATTCCATACATTTAGCATTGTGTTTCATTGCATAGTTGCTGCATTCTTGCAATGTTATAGGTGCATCTCCAAAAATTTGAACATCGTGGAAAAGTTTATTTTCTTCCGCGATTTATTTCAAAAAGTGATACTTTCATATATTATGGATTCATTACACATAAAGTGAAAATATTATTTTATTATTATTATATTTCAAACATTGTCTTTTTAATCTTGACGATTACGACTTACAGCTCACGGAAATCAAAACTCCAGTATCTCAAAATGTATTAGAATTTTAAAATAAAGAATTTAAGCTCTAATCAGTTTATTAACACAAAACATCTGAGTTTCCTGAGCCTTTAACTCTCAGTCCTAGTCCACGCGTACGCGGGTATTTTTTAAAATCAAATTTATTTTAACAATAATATTAACTTAAATGTATGTTGCGCCATTCGTGAAACCCAAGGACACTTAACAAAGTTGACAATGCATGACACACATGCATATATGGTATCAACGAAGTTTAAAAAAAACAAAACCAAACACCTAACATGAAAACACGGCAATGCCACAATTGAAACGCTGTCAAGAGCATGCCAAACCAGGAGACGGCGATATAACCGTGGGCCAATCAGAAGTCTGGAAAAAAAACACTATTTCCGGTGGGCTGCTGGCAATTACACATCGAGGAAGAGAGGAATGAATCAAACGTGGGGAATGATAGTGAAGTGGAGTTATTATTAAATATCACACTCGAATATAAAGCTTGCAAAACAAATATGGCAGAAGGAGCATTGTTGTTTCTCGCCCGCCATTGCTCAAAATGTAAACAAAGGAGAGAACGACGCGCCCTCTGACGTCACAAGCCCGTCTTCTTGACAACAAACGGACCATCTGCTCTTCTCACCCCGGCAAGCTTCGTTTTCAGTGACCTAAAACGCAGTTTGCGTGTGGACGAAAGGCCAAAAGGTCTAGAAAAAGCTACGTTTTAATAAATACCCGTGTGCGTGTGGACAGGGCCTCATCTGGCTCATTCCACTCAACCATAATCATGGGGAAGACTTCTGACTTGACCGTTGTCCAGAAGACACTCATTTACAGCCTCCACAAGGAGGGTAAGCCACAGAAGGTCATCGCTGAAAAGGCTGGCTGTTCGCAGAGTGCTGTGTCAAAGCAAATTCATGGAAAGTTGAGTGGAAGGGAGAAGTGTGGTAGGAAAAGGTGCACAAACAAGAGGGATGACCGTGGCCTCGAGAGGATTGTCAAGCAAAGCCGATTCAAGAACTTGGGGGAGCTTCAAAAGGAGTGGACTGAGGCTGGAGTCAGTGCATCAAGAGCCACCACACACAGACGTGTCCAGGAAATGGGCTACAAGTGCTGCATTCCTAATGTCAAGCCACCCCTCAACCAGAGACAATGTGAGGAGCGTCTGACCTGGGCAGAGGAGAAAAAGAACTGGACCGTTGCTCAGTGGTCCAAAGTCCTCTTTTCAGATCAAAGTAAATTTAGCATTTCTTTTGGAAATCGAGGGCCCAGAGTCTGGAGGAAGAGTGGAGAGTTCAGTGTGAAGTTTCCACAGTCAGTGATGATTTGGGGTGCCATGTCATCTGCTGGTGTTGGTCCACTGTGTTTTATCGAGTCTAGATTCAACGCAGCCGTCTACCAGGAGATTTTAGAGCACTTCATGCTTCCATCTGCCATCAAGCTTTATGGAGAGGCTGATTTCCTTTTCCAGCAGGCACCTGCCCACACTGCCAAAACCACTAGTAGCTGGTTTGCCGACCATAGTATTGCTGTACTTGACTGGCCAGCCAACTCGCCTGACCTGAACCCCATAGAGAATCTATGGAGTATTGTCAAGAGGAAAGTGAGAGACACCAGACCCAACGATACCGACGAGCTGAAGGCCGCTATCAAAGCAACCTGGGCCTCCGTAACCCCTCAGCAGTGCCACAGGCTGATTGTCTCCATGCCACGCCGCATTGATGCAGTAATTCGTGCAAAAGGAGCACAGACCAAGTACTGAGTGCATAAATTAACATACTTTTGAGAGGGTCAATATTTCTGTATTATAAATTCTTTTTTCTAAAGTTCTAATACTTTCCATTCACTGTAAGCCGTAATCGTCAAGATTAAAAAAGATGCACCTTTATATACAGTACTTTGCTGAAACTGGGAAAAAATATAGAAAAGAAAAATGGCCATATACATAAATATATATATATATATATTTAAAAAATAAGAATTCAGAATATTTTAAGGAACCCCCCGAAGATAACCTATTACTTCATCTTCCCCTTGTCTGATGATATACCCCTCTATATATTATTTAATTGTGGACTTAAATAATAATTAAACATTTATTCCACCGCCTCTTACCTTTGGATTTCTAATCTAATAAGGTGTTTTGTCCATTTCCCCAAATCCATTTATTGTTCATCACAAATTTTGATGAGAAAGTGGAGCAGGTTTAAACAAGGTCCTACTTATTCCTAGTTACATGTTTCTTTTGTCTATTTCTAAAGTTAGTTTACGTGGGTTTTTAAAACCTAAAATAATACATTTGGGTTTAACTGCTTGTTTAATTCTAATTATTTATTTTTTCAGTACAGCTTCTCCAGCAGTCTGACATAATATGCTACATGAAGTTTGTATTTTTGCCATGATAAATAATCTTTCGTATACTTGAACTCTACTTCCATTATTTGAGGTGTGTATCTCCAGAGACATTTGGACAGAGCCTATAGACCTTTCCTATCTACCTTTTTTTTTAACCTAATTTCTGTATTATAGCAGACTTGTACACTGTATTTATCAACAGGATTTGAAGAATTATATCTGTTTTACTGCTTTTTATATTTGTATTGTTCACTGTAATTTTCTTATTGTTGTTTTTTTAGGTAGACAATTTTAAGATCTGTCCGGGGACAACGGATGAAAAATAGCCTTTTGGCTAATTCTGGTGCATTTGCAGCAATGTTAATTAATGTACACTGTCCCTGTCAAATAAATTAATAAAATAAATAAACTATCAAACGCCTTATTTTACCAGTAGGCTTTGGAAAGAGCTCTCACTCTGCACCTTTTGTGGGTACCATGAATGTCTCCAGCGTGTGATTCAGATGTGTTAGTCAGAATTGAAACATGGATAGAAGTAGCCCTGGGCATGTTTATTTTTTTATTTTTTTTGCTTCAAACTGAAGATTTCTTAGTTGTAGCCTACTATTACACAGACAGACAGCTTTACACCTCAGAGTGATTCTGTTCTCGCCAACGGACAATCTCTGCAGCATGTCGCCTCTCAGCCAGTGTCTGGTCTGTAAAAGAAACGCGCACCTTTCCACTGACATCACATCATACTACCGTCCTGCCAGTCGACTGTCCAATCAGCAGGCGAGGGGAGGCCCAGTGCCGGTGCGGTCTGTGCAGTCGGCGGATAGCGTGAGCTCTGCTCACCGTCACGTCTCTCCTGATTGGAGGGTTGAGCTGTGGAGGAGGCGGGATGTGAAGCCAACGAATCAAAAGTAGTGCGCGTTTCTCATTATCATAAAATATTGATCAGCATCCCTTCGGCTGTCTATCACCAAGTTGTCATCTTATACAGTTTGTTTTTTGTTGGCTGGGTTGCTTTTGGTGCACATGAGAAACAAAATCAAAAGACGAATAGTTGACTGAATTATTGTTTCTTATTTCATGGTAATTTTTTTTTGTCAGCCTTAAGAAAACCTGTTTCTCAGTAGTGCTATTACCATCAAATTCAACTTTTTTTTTTTAAATCCAAAAACATGTGGACTTTCCTGGGAGTAGCGAGCTTCACGTACCTTTACAAAAAATCCAGCACAGTCTTGACTTTGGCTCACAAAGAGTTTGTGGTGGCTGCAGCCTTATTGCTTACAGTCGTGCTGCTGCTCTCCTATATCAGGTATTTTCATGGCCAGAAGCTCAGACTCTCTCAGATATTTCATTTGCCTCTGCGCCTCTTGTCTTCTTTACCTGTTGTCAACCACTTAATCCCCCAAACTTTAACACGGAGGAGCGAGAATGCAGAGAACAACTTTAAAAAGGTAAGATTATATGTCAGATTAATTATGTGAACAAAGGAAGACAAAGACAGATAACATTGAATGATTATGAATTATTGTTAGATTTGAATTATATAATTTTACTGTTTTAATGTTGCAAGCTTTATGGCTTCTCATGGCTTCTTATTCTCAGGTTTAATTTAAGATTATCTAAACTAAAGTGCTTTAAGTGTTTATGAAGACATTAGAAAGACATATTTGATTATTAGCTGATGTATAAAATATTTACACTTTCCAATGTTTGCCTTACAGTCAAATTCAGTCTGGACTTTACACTGTGCATAATGAGACTCTCCTCTCTGTTGTTTCCAGAGCCGGAGAACAAGAAAAAGAGTGGATATAGATTCCTCCGCCTCACAGGGTGGCTCAACCAGTTGCTCCTCGGTAGGCCCGGAGCCAGATGTGGTGATAGTTGGGGCCGGGGTCCTGGGCTCAGCTATGGCGGCCGTCCTAGCCCGGGACGGGAGGAGGGTGACGGTGGTGGAGAGGGACCTGAAGGAGCCTGACAGATAGTGGGGGAGCTGCTGCAGCCTGGAGGATACAGGGCACTCAAAGAGCTGGGACTGGAAGGTCAGTGACAGAATCTGCTCCTGTTAGTGACCTGCAGATGTTCCCAACCAGCTTCTTACTATGACTGATGAACACACACACACACACACACACACACACACACACACACACACACACACAAACACTCTATTTTCTGCCTCAGTTAGAAGCAGTTGTGTGTATTTCACATGAGAAATTTGTGTATTTTTTTTTTCAATGTAAAACTATTTAAAAAATATATATGATTATATATAATTATATGTATCAGCAGTATCCCTTTAAAAACATTCTGCCAGGTGCAATTTCTTTGTA